CTCTCTCTCTCTCTCTCTCTCTCTCTCTCTCTCTCTCTCTCTCTCTCCTCTCACTTTCTCAGGAAAATGTCTTCACTGGACTTTGTAGTTTTCTGGTAGCCTGTGTCATTTCTTTCAGTACTTGGTAGAATACGGAGGTCTACCCTCCCTGGAGTTAGACACTTTCCCCCGGATTATGCATACTGGGCACTTAATTCTTCCAATTTGCTTTGTATTTGATTCGTACTTAGGACAGTTTTCCAGATCAGTAAGGACACAGGCATGATTGCTGGGAAGTGTGTCTATATGCTGCTTCAGTCCTTAAGATCTGCTATTCTGATTCTCCTTTCCCACAGTCTTTCTCATACAATCTTGTTATCACTTTAAAAAAATATATCACTTTGTTAGATTCAGACTCTTAGTTTTTGTAATCTTCCATTTTCTCCTAATTCTCTACCCAGGGAAAGAACTACACCAGATTTCCGGGTAGAGCATAAATGTACGGTGCAGGCTCTTTAAAATCAGACATAATATTTCCCACTGTTTTGCTACATCTGAAGGTAGGGATTTGATGCTTGATCATAATAGCTGGCCAGACATCGAAGAATTCACGTACCTCATGTCTTGCTCTCTCTGGTCCCTGTAAACACACACACTTGGCATAGCCTGACTTTTCATCCTTAAATTCATTCATTTACTCAAAAATTATTAATGGCTCCCTACTGTGCACCGTATTCATGCTGTAGCGAGTCCTAAGGGGCTGAGACTGCGTTCACACTATTGCTACAGCTCTTTTATGATACCTTGATGAACTGCTAGGTTAAATCTCATTAACCAAGAAGTTAGAGGTCCGAGCAAGGAAGAAAGCATGGAGTGACATCTTGGCTTAGAGTGTGAGTCTCTTGGCACAGCTCGTGATATTTATGGTAGAGTCACAGATCACACAAAAGGATCATGGAAGCAGAAACCAGGGAGGAAGTAACACAGAAAAAAGGGCTCTAGCAGCGCCTGCCAGGGAAAATAATAGAATATGTCAAGGTCTTAGCTGCTGATTCTCTGTTTTGGGGGAAGACCACCAGAGTATCCTACACATTCTTTTGGGTAGAGAATTGATATCCTGGAGGCTAAAGGCCATCACTGGAAAAAAGTACCATGGACATATAAGGGCCTGGGACATGAGTAACTTTGTTAGTTTCTTCAAAAGACATAGATACTCTGAGGGTTCGTAACATTAAGCATATGCTTAATAATTATCCATTCTAGTTACAACACCTATATTTTTAGCATGTAGTAACTGAGACTTGAGAAATTCTCTAGGTGTGGTGATAATTTATACTAGCAGAACTTTAGAGTTAAAGGCAGGAGATCAAGAGTACAAAGTTAATCTCATAAATGTAGCAAGTTCAAAGTTAGCCTGTATTACACAAGATCCTATCTCAAAAAGTTAATGAGGGAGAAAAATCAAAGGAAGAGTTAGTGTTAACTATAAATAAATTGGAAATAGGGCAGTGAATCTGGAAACACTGCTAGCTGAAAGAGCAGCATTTTTCTGCTTTTAAATAAAAACCAACATAAACGTACTCAAATAAAAATAATGGAGGAAAATCCACACATTCGTCTGGAAGTATTTCTAGTCTTTCTCTTGCATGAATGTCTATCTGTATTTAAAACTCAGAAAGAAAACATTTCAGAACTCATATGAAAGACTAAGGGTGAGAAAAGCTGCAGCCTTTTTCTTCAGGGTGTTTTAGTAACACCCAGAATGTCAACGGTTAATCCCATATGGACTGTGGCTTGTACTCAGCAGTTATTACCCCTCCTGAAAACTTAGCTGCTAGGGGAGAAGGGTAGGCCCAGCCTGGCTACTGCATGTGGGAGGCTGTGACTCCTGTGGTTTCCGCTGCATGACGTGCTTCAGAGGGTACTCTGGGCTCCTCTGCACCCATTTCTCTTACTAGCAACAGGTTCTCTGTTTAATGGCATGTCTAATGCATTCTGTGTTCTGCTGCCAAGAGGATGCTATGATATTTCACTTGCCTAAAAAAAATAATAACCTAAGTGTATTGTGTTCCTACCCCACAACTTACTTGGGTGGAATACCTTGCAAACGTTTTCCGTGTTGTCATGGAAGCAATATCTAGGCGTGTTGATCTGGCTTGGTGCGGTTATTCATAGATCTATGAAACACCTATATGTTGCTTCCATTTTGTGGCTGTTGTAAAGACTTGGCAAATGCAGTGAAGATGGGAGAACACTAGCGTGATTTGTGAAAGAGCCTACACACTTTTTCCATGTGTCCTTGTGTCTATGTACAGGACAGCTAGATTGTTCTGCTATTTAACTTTTGCTCCTATAGGAGGTGCATGCCCAAGGGACCTTGGTGAGTGTCACAACGAATGAAGTAACAAGCATTCTAAGCTAAGCTGCTCCAGGATTTGTGACTACCCCAAAGAGACTTTAGATACTTTCTCTCGGGACACTCCACAGCCTTAGCCACTTGAGATTTCCATTCTTTTTTGTCATGATCAATGACCAATAGAGCAGCCAAAGTCACAGAGATGCTTTTGAAAATTTAAATTGCGATTTTGTTCAATTCCAGTTCATTATAATTTGGGCAAAACCATGCCGTTCAAGTACCTCTATCAGCATGAACCCGGGCTTCCCATGCTGGACTTCTCCCGCAGAAAACAGAGCAGAGGGTTTTGTTTCCGCTATTCACCCTCTGGTTCAGTTAGAAGACCTCTTAAAAGTCCAGCTATCGCTTTAACCAGAAAATCAGTCCTTTTCCAGTCTTCCCATCTTGTAACAAGTCTGCACCCCAGGAATGATGATTTGTGGACAGGACACATTGGCATGCATTTGACCTTAAGAAGAGGTCTTTAAAGTAGTTTTTTCAGTCATTAGATTATATTAAAATGATCTAGACAGGTGTAATCTTGGAAAGTTAAATCGAACTAACTTAAAACATATGACATTTGGTCTTTCCTGTGTGGTCTAGCCTTATATTATTTGAACACACGAATTACATAGGATATATAAGGAGAGAGAAGGCTTGTCCATGTTCTTTGCCATATTCTAGGTGAGCCAAAGGTAATTTCATGGCACTTATTAACAAAAATTAGAATTATTCTTCAGTAGCATGTGAAGATTATACAGAAATTAAAATATAATACAAATATAGGTATTAGCATAAACCTGAAAAATACTTTTCCACAGGGCGTTTGCATTTTAAGAATTGTTCTGAGAAGAACTAAAGAGTATAGAAAAGTAGCAGACTCACAGACTGTGTTTATCTGCCATATTTCTTTGAAGCACACCTAATCTGCTCTTTCAATTTTCAGTTTCCTGGTCAGTTTTATGGTGGATGCCCGTGGTGGTGCCATGCGAGGATGCAGACACAACGGGCTCAGGATCATTATCCCACCTCGGAAATGCACCGCACCGACGCGAGTCACCTGCCGCCTGGTGAAACGCCATAGACTGGCAACGATGCCGCCCATGGTGGAAGGAGAAGGCCTGGCCAGCCGCCTCATTGAAGTGGGGCCTTCTGGAGCTCAGTTCCTTGGGTAAGGGTTTCCCATAAGCCTCCTACTTAGTCTCCGATGGGTTTACGCCCTCTACCCCGAGATCAATGGAATGAAACGCCAAAGGTACGTTAAGCCATTTTGAAAACCGATAGGCTCCTGTGACATTTTTTTTTTTAACATTGGAAATAGTGCCTTGATGCCTGACTTCACTTTCGCGCTTCCATGATAAAGCGTCAGTGAGTGAAACCCGCAGGTTGTTAGTGGTTTTGCTTCTTGGATGTGAGGATAACTGCCAGATTCCCAAATGGGATAACCATGTTTTTTTAGGCCTTGGTAAGTATTTCTGTTTCTTATCCGAGACTAAAAGACAAAGTATAAAGAAAAAAATGTGCTCTGTTTGAAACATACATTTAACGCCTTGCGTGGTTATGAATCCATTGCCACCTTCACTTTGGACCACAATACTGTCTTCACAGACTACCTAAAGATCAGCCTAAATGATTTGTGCATTTTCTATTATCAAAACTGCTACCTTCAGCTTTTAAGTCATGGTGTAAGATGGAAATACTGAAATTTAACCTCTGCCATCCTCATTTTGGCAATTTTGAGCAGAGATTAGCATTTCTTCTTCCTTCTGGCAGTCTGTATGGCTACTGTCATACTAGGTGACCCTCCAGTGTATCAGGTGAAAAGTTGCCACTGAATGGTAACAAAAGGATAAGACCTTGGAGGGGGAAACAGGTTTCAAATCATTTTGAAACAAATCAATTGTATTTAAGTCTTGGTGCTTAAATCTGAGAAAGAAAAAAAAATCTTACAAACCAGGATTCCGTTTGATTGTTGTCAACGTCATACTGGGGAGAAGATTTCTCGCTTTAGAACTCTGAAAATGTTCTAAAGCCTATAATTTGGGGCAAACTGTTAACATATTGCTCCAAATTAAAAAAAAGGGATGTGTTGCTAGTTCCCAGGTGTAGAAGGCTCATCTCCTTTGTCTATCAGACAGAGCTTTGAAAAGAGCCTGTGAAGTTCTGGGTTGCCTCAGAAAATGTCACTATGGTTGGATTCTTTTGAGATTCTTGATGTCCAATTGAGAGCCTTGCCCCCCCCCCCCCCTGCTCAGGTAGTTGAAGGCTTTTTGGTAACCCTCAAAGCTGTTGAGGAATATCTATGAAAATGGGCTGGCTGCTGCACAGAGTTTTTATTATATTCCCAACAGTTCTGTCCTTCCCGGAGAGAAATTTTTCCCCTCCACTTTTTTTTTTTTTATTTTTTTCCGGCTAGTGCCCCGGCAGTGAACCTAAGTGGGAACAGACTTGACAGCCATGTTCTCCCCTGGCACAGAAGCACCTCCATTGTACACTCTGGGTCTCAGTTCCTACTTCCTTGCTCTTTGTGACCAATGGAGGGGGCAGAACCAAACGCAGTGTGAAACCAAACTTCACCCTGTGCTGCTGGGGTTCTGTGGACACGGTACCTGAAGCTTACTTCTGTTCTTTCTTTCACTGCTGCTTTGGATGTACTCAGTAAACTTCACCTGCCAACGGCTCCTCCCCCACTTAATGAGGGAGAAAGTTTGGTCAGCCGCATCCTTCAGCTGGGGCCTCCTGGAACCAAATTCCTTGGGTAGGAGCGACTTAAAACAAATTGATGGCTGCTGGCCCCCGTTCTTCTCCTCCTTCTGCGATATGATTTCTCTTTTCGTCATTGTGCCCATGACATGTCCCTCTCTATGATTTAAACTCTGTATAACCTATCTCTAGTGGACCATTTCTGACCCTTGTGGTATGTGACTTTTATTTTTGAGTGACGTTTTATATCTTCTCCTTTCAAGTTGCTGTGACCTTCATTTTCGTTCAAGCATGAGACTTGCCTAGTTGTGCTCTGTGCTAGTCCTGACGTGGTTCTGACGAGTTTGGAGTCTGTATCAAAGCAACCTGGACTCAAACATGGAAAGCCTTTGTCTATGTTGAGGATGAATGTGACCTAAAAAAAAAAAATCACAAGACAGTGCATGTTCTGGATCCTGAGCATAATAGGCATTGGACAATATTGGACTCTTGGTTGAGTGGCTCTTTAGGGTCACATTGTGTGCACATGCCTATTGTTTTCCCGAATGAAGGCAGTTTGAGCAGAAGTCACACATGCATGGCTCATGAGCACACGTAGTTTACCTCCCTAACATCTCATTTATAGCACATTGAATCACGCAATGTATGAGCCATTTTCTTTCCTAACTCATGTTGCGATTTTGCACCTGTAGAACATGTTTTAGGATATTGGCCTACATCATAGACCTGCATGTACATTTCTTTTGGCTAAATGTGCTACACCTACATTTATCAAAGGAGGCGTTCCAGAATGCCACATGCACTCACAGAGAAATAGCATTTGGCTTAAGGTAGCAGCATGAACCTGAGGAGCAGTGCCCCTGAGGTGGGGGGCCACTGAATCACCCTCTGTTAGTCACTGGGCTCTGGAGGAAGGCCCACTGTGTCCCTGCCCCCCCCAGAATGAGCAGAATTCCAGGTCACTTTGCAACAGACAGTGTGCAGGTGTTTGTCTTGGGACTGGTTACCCTGTCTACACTGAGTGTTCTGCATTGCTATGTCAGGCCCGTGATCGTGGAGATTCCTCACTTTGCTGCCCTTCGAGGAAAGGAGAGGGAGCTGGTGGTTCTGCGCAGTGAAAACGGGGACAGCTGGAAAGAGCACTTCTGTGAATACACGGAGGACGAGCTGAACGAGATCCTCAATGGCATGGATGAAGGTATCTCTGGGTTAAGGAGACTGACAGAAATCTCGGGTGGAGACATGCCAGTTCTGCACTGTTTTCAGAGCTTCAGCTGTCTGAGCACTTGTGTGCACATGCATGTCTCTTGGAGTGTTTTTCTCCAGCACACTGCCTGCTGGGTTCCGACTGCAGCAAGTTTCAATGCACAACCCATCCATTTTTTTAATGGTGTCTATGTTAAATTCAGGAAAATAAAGCCCTTTGAGGTATTAAGTAGCTTACATTAACAAGAATAGTCAGCCTGACTCTATCTTTTAATGCAAACTTCTGTTGAATCTAAAACTAACAGGAGAATGGATGTTGTTCCATCACAAATAACTCTGCTCAAAACCTTTCAGCTTTCTACTATTAAAGAGACAGGAACATTAAGTTCATTCGGTTATTCATATGGAGACTTAGTCTAATTTTCTGTATTTCTCTAAGTACGTACACTAGAGCAACAGAGACTTAGTCTAATTTTCTGTATTTCTCTAAATACATACACTAGAGCAACATAGAGTCCATGATCCCACCTTCTGCTCTTAGTATTTGGTAAGTCATTGGCGTCAGAGGACTATTGAAAGTCTGTTGTTGATTACAGAGTCAAACCAAGTCACGAGACAGAATACGTAATCAGAAACCTTACCCATTCACTGCAGAGTTTATTACTAGTCTGGTCTCCCAGAACCTAAAGGACCATGTATTTTTTTTTAATTTATTTATTTATTTATTATGTATACAACATTCCGTCCATGTATGCTTGCATGCCAGATCTCATTATAGATGGTTGTGAGCCACCATGTGGTTGTTGGGAATTGAACTCAGGACCTTTCGAAGAGCAGTCAGTGCTCTTAACCTCTGAGCCATCTCTCCAGCCCCTATGTATTTTCTTAAGACCACAAGAATTGGCCTTTGAGCTAACTTTGAAATTTGCAAAGAAAAGGAGTTCCCATGCAGCTTCCTCTCCATCACGTGAACCAAGAATAGCATATGTTCATTTCTGCTACAGGTTTGTCCACAAACGCCCTCACAGACACGGCACTGCACAGGCGCATCTGCACTTCCTTTCCACTGCTCTGGAAAGCCTAGTTTTCCCCAAAGTGTACTTGCAAACTGCCGAGAGCTGAGGAAAGATTCCAATATTTATGTATTTAGTGTTCGAATTGCCTTGTATTTTAACATTTACCAAAGGGGAGCTTTGTGCTCCCCAGATTGCTATTAACTGTGCCCACGAGTCTGCTAGAATGTTCTCAGGAGTCACTAGCTTCATGAGGATGAATCATTTCTTGTCTCAGTGCTGGACAGTCCGGAGGACCTGGAAAAGAAACGAATCTGCCGCATCATCACTCGTGACTTCCCACAGTACTTTGCGGTGGTGTCGCGCATCAAACAGGACAGCAACCTGATTGGCCCAGAAGGAGGAGTGCTGAGCAGCACTGTGGTGTCGCAGGTGCAAGCCGTCTTCCCCGAGGGCGCACTCACCAAGCGCATCCGTGTAGGCCTGCAGGTATGTGCCTGTAGGTGGCAGATGATACTGTGGGATTGTATTACCCGGGTTGCAATTAGGTTGTCACACGAGAGTTGAAATATCACCTCAGTAAAGTTCCTGTGAGTGACCAAAGGCTAACACGAGAGACCAAAGAGTCACAGTATTTTGAGGGCTGGGTAGGTGAGATGACTCGGCTGGTGAGGGGGTTGTCTGCTGAACCTGACTACCTGAATGCAGTTCTGGAAACCACGTGATGGAAGATGATACATGACTTCCTCAGGTTGTCTTCTGGCCTGCATATGTGGGCTGTAGCATGCACCCAGCCACACACACTTCTAACATGCAATAAATAAATGAAAATAAAATGTAATAAATTCTTTTCTAAATTTTGAGCGATTAATAGTGCTAAACTTCACAGCTGCCACATTCGGAATCCATTCACCTCATTTGTGAAATAATAAACAATGTTTGTCTGGATATGATTGTTGACATTATGTAGGATACTATAGTTCCATGGTTTTTTTTTTCCCCTTCCCTTGAAAGGCTCAACCCATGCACAGTGAGTTGGTGAAGAAGATCCTAGGCAATAAAGCAACCTTCAGTCCTATAGTCACTTTGGAACCCAGGAGAAGGAAGTTTCATAAGCCTATCACCATGACAATTCCTGTTCCCAAAGCTTCAAGTGATGTCATGCTGAATGGTTTTGGGGGAGATGCACCAACCCTAAGATTACTCTGCAGCATAACAGGTGAGGCATATGTGACTATAGCATGGACAGTTCCAGAAGATATTTAAATAACAGTAAAAAACTAAGAACCTGTCAGGTTAATTATGCCCTGGAAGCTGAGAATGTAGGCAAACATCTGTGAGCCAGTATTTGGAAGACTGAGGCTGGAGGATTATGAGTTCAAGGCCTATCTGGACAATATAACAAGACCCTGTATCAAAAAGCTGTGTGGTTATATACGTTAATTCAGGGTAAGCATTTTTAATTAACTAGGTGAACAAAAGGTAAAAAAAATTATTTTCTAAACCGTGTTTGTATATCAAACTATTATAATAGTATATATCAAGTATATATACTTGATATGCATAGTCACGTTTAAAATAAATGTTTTTGATTTAATTTTGTAACATACTGAGTTATTAGTGCTGCCCATATGGTCATGGTATAGGGCCATCCACCAGCTGATAGACGTGGGCAACCCGGTCAGCCAGTGACTGCCCCTCGAAGAAGAAAAGTGACCCTTTCTTTCCCCCAGCATCAGCTGCCAGTATCTCCTCATTTATGAGTGTTGTCTTGACGGCTCTTTCCTGTATGTGCAAGAACTTTTCTGGGGTGATCTAATGCAGGTGACCCAGTTCTGAGAGTTGAGCCACCCAAGAACCTGTATTCAGCAGCCAGCATCTCACAGCACTCCTCCTACCTCCTTTATCCTTCTCTTCTCTATTCCTTGTGTTTCTCTTCCGCAATGCTCCCTTGCCTAGAGGGGGAGACGGGGCCATGTAGTTGTCCCACTCACTATGTCCTGTTCTTAGCACTGTGAGCAGTTATGCATCTTCGCCTTAACCATGACCTACACCAATAAGGAACTTCTCTGACCAAGGTTTAGTTCTTTGGATATAAACAGAATTATTTAGAAGGCTGTTTGACGATATAGTTTTCCCCCTAAGGCTTATGGCTTTTCTGTGACCATGTTTAGGGAACTATATATACATTTCCTTCAGTGGAGCAATCTCAAGCCAACCAACCAAGAGAGCAGCTGGTTCCTCATCAGCAGTCTGGTCACCATTGCACCGGTGGGCACATTGTGCCTGCCAGATCAGTCCCGTAGCATGCCGGCTCCACCACTGGATAAAATCATTGATTCTCTGTTCTCCTTCAGCAGTCTTTTTAGCAGGCCATGATACATAATGCCTGTAAACAAATATTCAAATAATTTTCCATAAATTTAGTTTATCTTAAGGTGGCATTTGCTTTTGTAAGTGTCATTTTTTTAGTATGCAGTTTTGAGAGTTTGTACTCTCATTTTGATTTAATTAAATTTACTTAACTTTTTCCTTTTTTCTTTCTTTTTTATTTTATTTTATGTTTTGCTTATAGTTCTGGTGATTGAACCTAGGACAGGTTATTTGCAGAAAAGGCAAACACTTTCCTCCCGAGCTACATATCCTTAGCCCTGAAAGTAGTTTTGCCTTGCTGTCTTCTCTCTCTCTCTCTCTCTCTCCCTCCCTCTCTCGACCTTCGTTCCTCTTTCCCTCCCTCCCTCCCTTTTTTCTTTTCTTTATTTCTTGTCAATGAGGGTTGAACATGGGGCTGGTCACACACTAGGCAAATGCTCTAACCCTGTATCCTATACGTTCACTAGCCTGTATCCCAGTTCATGTTATTCTCGTTGTGCCCTTTTGCGTATGGAGGGACCACACAGGCGAACATCAGAACCACAAAGACCTTATTTACAAGCCAGTGTCTGGCATTTTGCCCAATCATCTTCCAAAATCATGCTATTTCAGGTGGAACCACGCCTGCACAGTGGGAAGACATCACAGGAACTACGCCACTAACATTCGTCAATGAATGTGTTTCCTTTACAACCAACGTGTCTGCCAGGTATGTGTGTGCAGCCCAGAAAAGCCCATTCACTGGATTTTTTTTCTTCCTCCCCAAAGTGATCTTTTCTTTTTGTTGTTTGATGTTGTTTCTTAATTCTTTCAAGGGGATTTTGGTTGCAGTTGTTTAATATTAAATTGGGCGTGCATTTCTTGTGACTTGAATAGTAACACTACAATAACCAAGTCCTGCCTCCATTCAGATTAGATTCTACGGGAAACACGTGTCTATCTGCTTTGGCGGTATGATCTGATGCTAGCTTTGGCAGCCACTCCTGGTGCTTTCAGTGCCCAAGGAATGAAAAGTTTCCTGTTATCCAACAATACACACGAAGAGTTGCTTTTTCAATAGAACGCCAAACACACAGTCAGTGTAGCTTGCTTAGTGGCTAAAGAGTTACAATGTGTTATACACACTAACACATTTGCATGATACACACCCTTAAGAGAATGAAGGTATCTTCTGTGACTTCTTCTATTATTTCTTTTACATACAGTAATTGAATTCTAGTAGTAGTCTTTATTTGTATAGTCCCTGATGGATAGGTCAACACCTTCATGTTTCTGGTTGGTCTGGTTCAGTCTTGGTGGCTAGTGAGCCCCATGAATGATGGTGCAGTGAAGGCACAGTGTTGAATCGCCAGAAGATTAAATGAATAGCAGAGGAATCAAGGGGAAGAGTGCTCACTCAGAGAAATCTATATCATACTGTCTGATGCGAAGCTTTTATTCCCAAAGATTCAAAAGCCATCACTTTATATGTCAAGAGACTGATTATAAGGAAGAGTTTTCAAAAAGAGAAACACAGCTAGAACATTTAAGTCAACCTTTTTGTTTGGTTTTATTTTGTTTTGGGAGATATATAATTTCTACTGGATTTATTACTTATGCATGGTAGTATGCTACATAATGACTTTTACTTCTAAGTGTATATTTACATTAAGCATATTAATATATTAATATACATATTAAGTGTATATTTATATATTATATATTAATATAAGTGTATATTTAATAAGTACAATTGATGAGTGTATATTTACATTAAGCATATTAATGTATTAATATACATATTAATGTATATTTATATAGTATGTTAATATACATGTTAAGTGTATATTTACTTCAAAGTGTATATTTACATTGAGCATATTCCCTCTTCATTGTAACAATCTTAAAAATCTGGTATAACTCTCCTTCTTGATACCTCCAGATTTCCGGCCCATCCCTTGTCTTCCTTGTCATTTCTGTCTTTGTTTCTTTTTCACCTCTTTCTCGCTCCTATTTTTTTCAAGAAACATTTGGTGGCTATATTGATCATATTAAAGAAACTGATTTTTTTTTTCAAATGGCATATGTTAAACTTTAGGTAACTGGCTTTCTCTCTTTTTGTAGGTTCTGGCTGATAGATTGTCGACAGATTCAGGAATCTGTTTCCTTTGCATCGCAAGTGTATAGAGAAATTATCTGTGTACCATATATGGCCAAATTTGTAGTCTTTGCCAAATCACATGACCCCATTGAAGCCAGGTTGCGGTGCTTCTGTATGACAGATGATAAAGTAGATAAGACCCTTGAACAACAAGAAAACTTCTCTGAGGTGGCCAGGAGCAGGGATGTGGAGGTAAGCCCTTCTGCATCCTGGGGCTTCACTATCAGGTCTTTGCAAAACAGAGTAGGAAGAAGATTTGCTTCACAAAAGCAAGGTCAGTCTATAGCTGAATGAAGGTCAAGGTCCCAAATCAGATTTTTCTGACAATTTGAAACATAAATGTTTGTTCTCTATGCATGTAGAAAGATGCACATAAAATTAATTTGAAGAAAAACTGTAAGTTATTGATAAACTTGAAGTCTATAGGTAACTCTGAGTTTGTAATAACTGTAGCAGTTTCAAGGATTTTATCTTCCTGAATTTTTTTAAAGTACTTCTTTTTGTCTAAGTGTTAGGTCAGATAAATACTTCTCTACATTGTTTTTAAATACTTTTCTAATTGGTGTTTCCTTTTTTGTGAAACCTTTTTCATCATTGCAAATTTATATTTAGTTACTAGACATACATTGGCCTTTGTGGGTACCACAACACAACGTTAACACTGATAAAATTGAATGTTACCATGCAATTGAAGATACTCAGTAGCAAGAAGGAATGCTGGTCTATGCCTTGTCGTGTATATGACGGATGTCAATGAGCAGTGTGAACACTGTTGTATGTACATTCTAAGATCTGAACATTCCAAGTACACTTACTACCTGTTTGCATAAATGGCATGAAAGTGTTTGTAGCTATCTCAATCCACGTTGGTTTTCTGTCTTATCTTAGGTATTAGAAGGAAAACCTATTTATGTTGATTGTTTTGGCAACCTGGTACCACTAACCAAGAGTGGCCAACATCATATATTCAGCTTTTTTGCCTTCAAAGAAAACAGACTTCCTCTCTTTGTCAAGGTAATGTATACATAAAACTAAAAATCAGTTATGCCTTTACATATATACATACAGTAATACATATGTACATACATACATACATACATACAGTTCAAGGGTTGTTCTCAGTTACTTTCATAATGGGAATATGTGCTTTCCAAACATTTCCAGTGATTTTGAAACACGTTTTACAAATGTTTACAAAAAGCATATGTTTTAGTTTATTTTTGAAGTTCAAAGCATGTCTGAGAGAGCACATTTATGAGAAAAATGAGGGCAAATTATGACAAGTTCTTAAGTAGACACATTAAAAACTGTTCCCCCAGAGTAAGTCTCTGTCTCTGTCTGTGCCCCCATCTCTCTGTGTTGCTGGGAATTAAACTTAGAGCTTCCCTCCTAGCTATTACTAGGCGGTGACTCTACTAGTGGCTTAAACTCCCGACCCTCCCGTTCTGTCCCCTCCACTGCTGTCACTTTTAGATATTCATACTTAGATTTTAAAATGTATGTGGATGTCACTAATGTAGAGTCCCAAAGAGCACTGATAACTTTTTGTAGTAATTTCTCCAAAGACCCAGAATCTCATGGTCCAATAAGAAAGTATTCTAGCTAGAGCTATAGACTTGATGTAATTTCATCAATTCAACATAATAGAAAGTTTGATGTTGAATGAGTCCATTTACTAAGGGATACCCAGGGAAGTAAAACTCATAAAAGCAGATAGTAAAAGGGTGGGTATCATGGAAAAGGGGTCTGGGGAAAGAGGAGATGTTGCTTAATACATGGAGACTTTCAGTTTGGGAAGCAATTCTGCATGCACATAGATGGTGGTGATAGCTAAACAACAAAATGCATGTACTGTCACCACTGAATTATACACCTAAAATTGTTATATACATCTGAAATGATGTTTCCCATTACAAAACCACAGTTAAAAATAGAATGAAATTCTGATGTTGTAATGAACTTAAAGATATCCTAAGTCGGACTGGAGAGATGGCTCTGCAATGAAAAGCACTGGCTACCCTTCCAGAGGTCCTGAGTTCAATTCCCAGCAACCACATGGTGGCTCACAGCCATCTAAGATTTGGTGTCCTCTTCTGGCCTGAAGGCATACAGGCAGGCAGAACATCGCATGTATAATAAATAAATACATAAATCTTAAAAAAGTAAAAATAAAATAAGAATATCCTAAGTCAGTAAAACATAGGGAAAATACTGTATGAGTACACTTTACAAAGCAGAGAAATCCACGGAGACCCAAAATCATTTGGAAGTTGTCAGGAACAAGGAATGGGAGGTCAGTGTGTACTGGGCACAGTTTCTGTCAGGGTGAATAGAAAGCTCTGGAAAATAGTGGTGATTGCACAACTTCATGAATGTGCTTCAGAGCACTTAAAAATCGTAGAAACGTATGGTTATATGACAGGTATATTTTACCACAATCTCAAGAAAGGCAAACTCATTTTGACAACCTGATATACGCAAAAGTAACCACAATTGATGGTTACTTTATATGGGAAACTTGCCATGAGGTCTGCAGGGAATCCCACACCCTCACTTGAGGCCATGCGTGTGACTTAACATGATGGTTAGCTTCGTTTGATATCACGTGCATACCCAACCATTCTGGTAGCCACCTTAATAGAGGTAGAACTTTTTCAATCATGCTTCATGAATCAGCAATGCCTGAAAGACATTTTCAAAGTGTGGTTGTAAATGATGATACCAACACAGAAAGGGGAAGAGCTTGGAGTCTGTGGCTCTTATGTCCCTCCTTGAAGTGTCACCGACTGAAAATATGCCCCCCCACTTTGAACCACATCTGATGTCAGACATCGGTGAAGGCCATATGTCTTTCTTGTTCAAGGTACGTGATACAACTCAGGAACCTTGCGGGCGACTCTCGTTCATGAAGGAACCCAAATCCACAAGAGGCCTGGTGCATCAGGCCATTTGCAACCTAAACATCACCCTGCCAATTTATGCGAAGGTATTGTGAATCCTGTAGTGTTCTCAGGGCAGTCCAAAAATTTGAGCTTCAACTTCTTTATAAAAGACATTGAACACAAGAGCATGTACAAATCATTTTTGGTATCCTGCCTAATTAAGGTATATTTTTTTCAACTCAGGAAAGAAAAAGCAATTCTCGCCTTCTTTGGCATTTCATACACTTTTATGGAGGCTTTTATTTTTATATATTAGATATGGCAGAGAAAAATTGTTTTAATTTTAATGCCATTTGAGCTAAGTTTTAAAGAAAAAAATTCTTTAAAATATTTCTGTTCTTGTTTCTGTGTGCATTCCTGAGACCACATGGTGCCTTGCCTCCCACCAGGATGTTAGTGTGTTAGTTATTGCTTACTCTCCACCCAGCTTGGTCAGCTTACAGGTTTAGAGCATACCACTTGTGTTTTAGATTTGCCTGAAGTAATTACCTATTTATATTATAACCTGTCCTGTTTAAATGGCGTAAAAATTTTAAACTAACTTTTCAGTTAATTTAACATGATCAGTATAAAAATATCCTCTTGACAGGAGTACATTTAATGCAACACCAGAAAGACTTTTGTTAATTTCTGACTCGAGTCTACCTAATACTACTTTCAATCTAACTCTTTCTTGGTGACATGATACTTTGACTATTACTAGTGTATCAAAGAAGGCCACTGAATCCGTTAAGTGACCTGGGGAATCTTACTCTGAAAACCTTTTTTCCCCTTTAAACGAGTATCATTTAAAAACAGCCAGCTGCAGATGGCAGTCTGTGCATAGCTGCTGCAAATGTTTGGTTTTTTTTTTTTTCTGCACTTGACAAAGGGCTGAATAGTGGGTGATGGATAGGAAGTAGGAAATACTTAAAACTTTAGTCCTGAATCTGCAGAACCAAGAATTACTTTCACCTCATCATAGTTGCCACAGAATGTATTGGTTTAAGTATTCAGTCTTGGAAATAGATACCAGTTTTATAAAAGAGGGCTCTTAGCATATGTTTCATGTTGTTACTTCTTCTTAATAATTAAAAACAGAAATTGAATATCGATTTCCATATTTGATATTCATGATGTCCCAATGCCATCAGATCGATCAACCAAAAAAGTGTGATCTAATTGTAATCCCACGACACAAATTGTACCTTGGTATTTAGCCTCTGCAGGCAGAGTAGCAGTTAAGAGCCACAGGAGAGCTGCGCAGGCCGCCCAGAGATACAGTGTGAACGTGCTGTGACCGGTCCCCGGGCTCTCCATGTTCTGTGAGAGAAAGCATTTACTTCGTTTTATATTTTTTGAGACAAGATACAGCACACAGTGTTATTAATGCTGTGGTGATCAGGGGTGGTTTTCTGTTCAGTCACTCACGATGAAAAGAATAAAATGCCAAACATTGCATATTTAAGATATACTGAGAATGCAGTATATAGTAAAACTTGTGTAGTGCCCAAGTATTGAAAACGTTTGCAGCATAAGCTTACTGATGCTGTGTGATAGTTTCAGTCAGTCCCATTATAACTGGGATAGGGTCATCATCACCTTTTCTGTGAATCAATTCCACCAGACACGTTAAATATCAAGCTTTCGGGCTGCTGGTAACTTCGGGTCAGGAATTGGTATATTTGTCATTTTTTTTGTGTGTATATCTTTGAATGTATAAACTTTGATCAATCTTCTTTAGCTGTCTTCTATAAACTATTAAAGACAGCAGCCTGAGTGTACTGTGTGCCTGCCTTGATGCTTGTAGATGGACATATTTACTCTTCTCTTCTAAATGTTTCTTCCTTCTCCCTTTTTTCCATCTTGCACGGCTTCTTGGGGCATCCAGGAATCAGAGTCAGATCAAGAGCAGGAGGAAGAGGTAATTTTACAACAGCGTCACTTGTTCCTGGCTCTGTCATTGCTGGAGCCGCTAAGAAGAGCATGTGGTTGACCTCTAATTTTTGGAGAGTAGGCAGCTATTTTTAGCAATTAGATGATCAGAATTTTAGTCAACCTCCCTACTCCTATTTTTTTTTTCATCTTGTAAATGGCATTCAGAGAACCGCAGAGTTTCCTTTTTGTTTTATTTGAGCCCTCTAGGTAATAGTATGTATTTCTCTGCCACCTTCTAAAGGCCAGGCCATTGTCTTGGTGACACTCAGGGGCTAGACTGGCGGTGTCTGAAGGTGACAGTGAACAGACACAATGGTTGCCTTTGTAACTCCTATGGCCTCACTAGCAGCACGGTTGTTCTGAAGGTGGGCCTGTGATGTCATCAGCACTCTGGCAATTACTAGGGTGCGTGCTGGTGTATTTGTGGGGTTCTTGAATCTTCTCGGCTCTAATCTGCAGTGTGCAGATTGTTTATGTGTAGTTTATGTAAATGAAAGTTAGTAACTTTTAGGAGTGAGTGCACTGTGGTCCTAATACCATGTTCGCGAACCATTAAGACTCACCAACCTTCAGTCCGTTCATTAGACTCCACGATCATGATACAAACATATATTTATAATTAGCATTCCTTATAAAGTATATTTGCAGTACTCTGTGTTCCACACACCTCACCAGCACGGGTCTTTCTCACCTATCTTCTGTGTGAAATCACATACAGATGTAGAAAACAAGATCTAAGGACGGCATCTCGAAAAACGTAGTTATCCATTTCGATTTTTAAAGCAAATATAGACTTCTCTTCTTTTTAATGGTCTGTAAACAACCATTATTTTAACAGAAATGAAATAAATTATTGAAAAACTCCTTATACTTATCCACGAATATAGGAACTTCTGTTTCCTGCCTGTGCTCAACTGTTTCCAAAGTAATTATCACTAGTGCGTACATTTTTAATATCCCTTCATTTTTAAATGTTTTTGCGAAAGTGCCTGAAAGGTAAAAACACAAAGAAAAGAATACTAAATGCTCTATGCCCACCAACTTCATGTGCGTGACCTTAGTCCAGAGGACCTGCCGCCAATTCCCCCTTCTGTCATAGGAAGCTAGAGAGCAGATGTGGACAGGCAGTCACACACGCCATCAGCTGCATGATTGGTCATTTCCTGTGTGGGTCACTGTCGCACACACAATGTCCTTCTGTGCTCAGGGTTCTGTCTCCCAGGCTCTTGAAATGTGACACCTCCACCCCATCCTTATAGAGCATAAAAATTGTGAAACCAGCTTTGCTGTGTTCACAACTGAGCCATTTCCATTAGATACGTGGTTATTTCCTGTGAAATACTTGCAGGAAGTTTCTGTCCTTCCTAAAAGGAACGTGTGAACAGCTCTGGAGCCGTTTGGAGCAGTGTTGTTAGGAAATGACTTCTGTAGAACTTATCACCCAGGATGCTTTGCCATCTTTTTTTTTTTCTCATTAAATTGGAACTTACTGCTTAAGACTGACTTCACCTTTTTCATGACCTTTTCCCTAATATGCATTTTCTAACATCAAACACAGTCAAGTCGCCTCTTCCCAAGAGTAGCATATTCTTTTGTAGTTTCTAGAAATGATGTATGAATATGTGTTTATTTATATATTCAAAACTGTAGCCGATGTCTTTGACTTTTTTCTAGTACATGTTGTCACTCCTATGTGCATAATCACAAATAGGATCTTACTACGCACATAAGCGACTCTGAGCCAAGAGCTGTTTGTAACCATTGAATTTGTGTATGTTTTCTTTCAGATCGGTATGACATCAGAAAAAAGTAAGACTCTAAATAAAATTGAGTTTGTTTGAAAGCTGGCTGTAATGAAAAGAAGCATGAATTAAGATGCAAGCTGGTTGTCATTACTAACCACTGTAATAATCACATTTTATGTACTTCTTATTAATCATTAATATCGACTTATAAAAGCAGCTTGGCCAGTTAAATCATAAATATGCCTAATTTGTGAATTAATTAGCATTAAATGCAATGATTATTCATTAAGCATTCACTTTCTTTTGACATCCCTGTAACCCTGGCATTGCTGTCAAGCTTGTTTAGAAAGCCACCCCACCGTTTTGTCCATCTGTTAGCGTAACATTCCCACCTCATTTTTTTCCCCCTGAATGGATATGACAGTATTACTTTTTACACAAAGCTACAGTGACCTCTGTAAAGAGCCTTGCCTCTGGAAGAATGCCTACAAAAGCGATACTGTCTCATAGTTCTGATCCGAAGCTCACGTGCCCCCGCCATACCCCACCCTCCTTGCCCTCTTACTGTGGTGAAGTATACCTAAGTCTTTAGATAAGAGCTAACAGAATTTTGTAAATTTCCAAAGGGGGGGGTCACAAAAAGAAAAGAATGCAAAAGTTAAAGAATACTGGATGCAATTACTGATCACAGTGTGGTTATATTTAAATAACAACTCAAAATCCCCAACAAAATCTAATACAGTAAGCAGTTCTGAACTCACCCGAGGTTTGTAATGGTCCAGTCACATTTCATCTTGTCAGCCTGGTCTCGGTACCATTTGGCTTCTTGTATAGAAACTCAAGTTGAATTTATAGATCTGTTTTTCCACCTTATGCCTTAAACACTTGAGAAAAATATTCTAATTTTTAATCTTATTAAGTATTAAGATTTATGCTGATTCATCTTATCCCAGGGTAGCATTCCTGGAAGGAAGGCACACAGAGCCACATGACATGGTCATTTTGCCCTAGATGGTTATGTTAGTCACTTTTGTGGGGCTGCTATAAAACACGTAAACAGAGTTACTTACCCAAAGAAGAGTCTTTTGTGGGGCTTACGGTTGCGGAGAGTTAGAGTCTGTGATAGCAGAGCAGGGGTAGTAGGTGGCAGGCTGTTGGACTCTGGAAACCACCAATGGGCAGAGAGAGCCCTCTGGAAACCGTAAAACCTGCCTGGTCCTAGTGACACACTTCTTCCAGCCAGGCCATACCTCCTAAGCCTCACCAAACAGACGTCACTTAGGGACCAAGTACCCCAGACTTTATAGGCAGATCTCATTCAAAACATCACACTGGCGACCAACAGGCCTGTTCTCCTTGCAGTCTTAGTTCATTGTAATTTACTGCTATCCTATTGGACTGACTTTAACCGAGGCTTATCCTTATGTCCCACCTCATTCAAGATGAAACTCTCTGAGATTCTCATGTCTTCAATAATCTATATGACTAAACATATCAGCATTATATAAATTGATATTAATATATTTTATATATGTACATTCACATGTGCTAGTCCCTAAACAAATACAAATTCTCTCTAGAGAAGACAGTTTTGTTTATGCCACATATTATTGTCGCCTTCATTGGTTTTTAAAGTGTTTTATTTTCTCTTCCTCTTCCTTCTATAGGGCAAGTGTATTGACTTAAATGGCTCCTTCATTTACTCCTATATACAAGCTAGTCAGAGTTAAAGTTATTGGTCTGGGTCAGTTAAAAAAGTAATAATGTTCCCATGTTGCTATAATACCATGGGTTCTCTCGAATGACACCTAGACACTTTGAATAGCTTCCAGATTTCAAAGGCAGATGTATGCTTGGTTTTGTTCTAAAGACAATCACCACATAGTTTTCACATAGCCATAAAATAACATCCAAAGAAGGGTTCTCTTAGTAAGCTTTTATGTAAGCCAACCCCGAGAGGTTTTTGCGTTGTTGTGATTAAAGGAGCCCTACCACCTGTGACTCCAGTATACCGCACAGACCCCCGCATGGACTGGTAGGGAGTAACTATGCTTCATCACAGTAACGTTTTTCCTTTTGTTCTAATTTCTCACTTCCCCACTGCCTGCACTCTTCTGCAAGGCTGCCCCTGCCCAGAAGTTTTACTCCACCTTTGCTTTGCATGGAAATAACTTGGCTTACATCAACTGTGTGTGTGTCCTGTGTGACTGTCTCTAATTTGGGTTGCCACGCATCGCCTTTTAACTCTGGCCTCACATCCACGTCCAGTCACAGCTGTAGTTTCCGTCATTTGTCCTTCCCTTTCCTTTATCCTCCTCCTTGGTCTGTCTACGCCATCTCTAAACAAGGAGGTCCCTCCAAGGAAAGGGCCATGCCTCTCCGCACGAGATGCGTGTCATCGTCAGGTGTGGATTTCCCTTCGACGAAATGCCAGTCTACAGCTGACTCAGATGTGTGTTCTGCCATTGCTGTCTGGTGGCAGGACGGTACTGACCAAATTCCAGACCCATGGGATTGAAAATGTATGATGTATTCTGAATTGGCTCTGACTGGCTTTCTCAGAGAGGAAATCAGGTTTCTGCAATTTCTAATGCTTTTTTTTCTTCTTTTTTTTTTTTTTTTAACCCATGGTTTGTTTTGTTTTGCTTTGTTTTCTGACATTGATCTGTAATATCTGGACAATCTTGAGATATCTCTGTGTAATTTCACTGCGCTCTTCTTTTTGATTTGTGATTTTTTTAAATGTATGTCTTGAGTATCTGTGATAGCTTTGTTGTATGTATGAATGTGCAACAAGTGAGAAAATTAAGCAAGTTATTTCCTGCTCATTTTCCTTTTCAGTTATTTTTCCGTTAGCCTTGCTTTGCTCTTGTTCCTTGAGACCTTGTGGATCCACCATCCCCAGCCCATTCTGTTGCCCCTTCCACCACCAGGAAAAGACGCTGTGTTGTTTTGGTCCTGATTACATTTTGCCGATATCTTTTTTGATTTCCATTTTACTTTCGATGTTTTTCATTCACATCAAAGATGATGAGACAGAATCGACAGAAACATCTGTCCTGAAAAGCCACCTGGTTAACGAAGTTCCCGTCTTAGCCAGTCCGGACTTGCTCTCTGAAGTTTCTGAGATGAAACAAGACCTGATCAAAATGACGGCCATCTTGACCACAGATGTGTCTGATAAGGCAGGTTCCCTCAAAGTGAAAGAGCTGGCGAAGGCTGCTGACGAGGAGCCAGGCGAACCGTTCGAAATTGTCGAAAGAGTTAAGGAGGACTTAGAGAAGGTGAATGCAATCCTGCGAAGTGGCACCTGTGTCCGAGATGAAGGCAGAGTACAGAGTTCTCAGTCCGAGCGAGAGCTAGAGGAGGAATGGGTCATTGTCAGTGATGAGGAAATTGAAGAGGCCAAGCAGCACGCACCTGTAGAAATGACTGAACGCCCATGTGTAGAAGTCAGAGTAGACAGGGGGACCAAGGTCAAATCAGAGAAGGACGCCACTGGCTTAGTGAACTACCTTACAGATGACCTAAACTCATACACTTCTCATGAAAAGAAGCCGCAGTCAGCTCAGGAGAAGTCAGGGGAGGCGAGTCAGGCCTCTGCTGTTGGCAAGAGCTCTGAGACTAATAAAGGGAAGGCTGCGCCAGCAGAGGAGAAACAGAGCGCACAGAAGCAGCCCAAACCGAGCCTGGTGATAAAGAAGCCGGTGCGGAGGAAACTAAAAGAAAAGCAGAAACCAAAAGATGAAAGCTCCCAAGGCAGTGAAGAAACGGCCGAACTAAAGAAAGGTAGCTCAGAGGAGTCGGTAGACGAAGAGCGAGGCCTGGCCCCCGAACCCCTTCCCACTGCCAAGGCCACCTCACCTCTGATAGAAGAAACTCCTATTGGTTCCATAAAGGACAAAGTAAAGGCCCTTCAGAAGCGAGTAGAAGATGAACAGAAAGGTCGGAGCAAGTTGCCGGTCCGAGTCAAAGGCAAAGAAGATGTACCTAAAAAGACCACGCCCAGGACACACCCAGCTGTGTCACTGTCTTCAAAGTCATCTCCTTCCTCTAAGACAGACCGGCACTCTTCCCTTTCTTCCTCTGCAAAAACCGAAAGACACACGCCAGTGTCACCATCAGGCAAAACAGAGAAACACTCGCCCGTGTCACCCTCGCCAAAAACCGAACGACATTCACCAGTATCCTCAGGTAAACCCGAGAAACACTCACCCGGATCCCCATCCACAAAAAATGAAAGGCATTCCCCTGTGTCGTCTGTGAAAACGGAGCGACACACCCCTGTGTCACCTTCGGGTAAAACAGACAAACGTCCCTCAGTTCCGCCATCTGGAAGAACGGAGAAGCACCCTCCTGTGTCACCCGGGAGAACAGAGAAACGCTTGCCAGTTTCACCGTCTGCAAGAACTGCAGAGAAGCAGGCCCCCATGTCAACTGCTGGGAAAAATGATAAGCACCTGCCTGTGTCCCCTGGGAAGACAGAGAAGCAGCCACCCGTCTCTCCCACCTCCAAAACAGAACGAATTGAGGAGACAATGTCTGTCCGGGAGTTGATGAAAGCGTTCCAGTCAGGTCAGGACCCATCGAAACACAAGACCGGACTCTTTGAGCACAAATCAACAAAGCAAAAGCAACCACAAGACAAAAGTAAAACCCGGGTAGAAAAAGAAAAGGGGCACACAGTAACTCAGAGAGCAGAAAGCCAGACAATCAAGCGTGGCCAGAGGTTTCCAGTGACAGGACCTGCTGAATCCAGAAGGTTCCGTTCTTCCACCATCACTGTTGGGCTCAGGACAGAAGATCCAGGTAGAGAAAGGTTTGAGAAAGGCCGTGTTGTTAAAACACCCGAGCCAATTCCATCAGTGGTGGCAGATGGGAGCCCTCGGGGCAATGAGACCCTTCAAGACAAAATAGTAGATGAGCAAGGAGACATGGATCTTCAGATCAGCCCAGACAGGAAAACCTCCACTGACTTTTCTGACGTCATCAAGCAAGAGCTAGAAGACAATGACAAATACCAGGAGTTCCGCCTCACCGAGGAGACAGAGAAGGCTCAGATTCAGTTAGACCAAATAATCACAAGTCCTTTCAACACAACCCTTCCGCTAGATTACATGAAAGACGAGTTTCTTCCAGCTCTGTCTTTACAGAGCGGGGCTTTGGGTGGCAGTTCCGAAAGCCTGAAGCAGGAAGTTGTAGCAGGCTCCCCTTGCGGCAGCCTGATGGAGGGCACCCCTCAGATCAGTTCGGAAGAGAGCTACAAGCATGAGGGCCTAGCAGAAACCCCCGAGACAAGTCCAGAGAGTCTTTCTTTTTCACCAAAGAAAAGTGAGGAACGCATTGAAGATATCAAGGAAACCAAGGTAGAGATACCCACAGAAAGTCATTCAGAAACAGAGCTTCCTGTAGCTAAAGACATGCCTGATAGTGCTGAAACACAAGGTGCTGAGGTCACTGAGGGTTCAGAATCCTCCACTGAGCATGGTCAGAAGGAGGTCACCCAAGATGTGTGCGTCAAACAAGATGGTTGCCCTAGCAGCCACAGTGTATCATTAGCCAATGAAACAAGCCAGGCATTTACTAAGAAAGGGTCTTGTGATGAAAGTCAGCTCCCAGTTGTTAGTTCAGCTTATAAGACCCAACCAGAAAGTGAAATTCAGGAATCCACAACTCCCTCCGAGGTGACAAAGACCTTCCCACCATCTGATGCTTCTATGAAGACAGGTGAGAGAGCAGAACCAAAGCCCCAGGGAGCCGTTAGAAGTCCCCAAGGGTTAGAGCTTCCACTCCCTAGTCGGGATAGTGAGATCCTCAGCCCAATGGCTGATGAATCATTAGCAGTAAGCCACAAAGACTCTCTAGAAGCCAGCCCTGTGCTGGAAGACAACTCCTCACACAAGACTCCCGATTCTCTGGAACCCAGTCCTCTGAAAGAGTCCCCTTGCAGGGACTCCCTTGAGAGCAGCCCAGTGGAGCCTAAAATGAAAGCAGGAATTCTCCCAAGTCACTTTCCTCTCCCTGCAGCTATGACCAAAACAGATCTTGTTGCTGAAGTGGCTTCCATGCGTTCTCGGCTGCTCCGAGACCCTGATGGCAGTGCTGAGGATGACAGCCTTGAACAGACGTCCCTCATGGAGAGCTCCGGGAAAAGCCCCCTCTCCCCTGACACACCCAGCTCTGAAGAGGTTAGCTATGAGGTCACACCCAAGACTTCAGATTCAAGCACCCCGAAACCAGCTGTGATTCATGAATGCGCAGAGGAGGAGGACTCTGAAAATGGGGAGAAAAAGAGATTCACGCCAGAAGAGGAAATGTTCAAAATGGTAACCAAAATTAAAACATTTGATGAACTTGAGCAAGAGGCAAAACAGAAAAGGGACTACAAGAAAGAACCCCGGCAAGATGGATCCTCCTCAGCCTCAGACCCCGATGCTGACTGTTCAGCAGAAGTGGATGAACAGAAACAGATGGAGAACGTGGCTGATGAGGGTGAGGTCCCTGTAGTGGTGACTTCAGAGAGCAGAAAAGCTTCTTCCTCCTCTGAAAGTGAACCTGAGCTGACTCGGCTAAGTAAAGGTGCTGACTCAGGACTTCTGACAGAGCCGGTTATTCGAGTGCAACCTCCGTCTCCCCTTCCATCCAGCATAGACTCTAATTCCAGCCCTGAAGAATCCCAGTTCCGGCCTATCGCTACCAAGCAATACACTTTCAAGATGAATGAGGATTTTCAAGAGGAGCCGGGTAAGTCAGAAGAAGACAAAGATGGCGAATCTCATTTAGCTGAAGACCGTCAGACTCCTTCTACGGATGGTGTTGATAGGTCTTACGATGATCTGAACAGAGAGACCCATCAGTCAGAAACCTGTGATGGCCATGGTTGTGAGGCTGTGAGCCCTAGTGACTCAGCCAACCTTGTCTCCTTAGGAGTTCAGAGTCCAGCCTATAATGATGCTGAGGAACAGCTGGCCATTGATAAAGAGTCACTGGTCCTCCAGGAGCCTTGTGAAAATGACCCGAAAGGAAGAGAGCTTGATCCTTCTAGAGTGGAATCTGCGCAAACAGATTTCCCCAGTGATGGCTCTTCCTTGCCTTTGTCTCATTCTGCAGTGTCTGAAAGACAGGACTCAGCTAAAGAAATACCCTCTCCATCTTCCACTGTAAAAGCAGAGGTCACAATAACTACTCAGACTTCAGAGAGCACGTCAGAGGACTGTCTGACTGAAGACTTATCCCCTCCAACTCAAACGGATAGGTTTGCCATGAATGTTCCAGTGTCTGACTTCGCTGAGACTGATGACAATTCTGACCCTCAAATAACCAGCCCTTATGAAAACGTTCCTTCCTCATCATTTTTCTCTGGTGAGGAGAGCAAAATCCAAACAGATACCTGTCATGCCGCAGTTGTTTGCTCACCAGAAGTGTGTTCTGTTGTCATCAGATCCTCTGCTGAGGATGCAGTAATGACAAACTCCTCGAGTAGAACTGGCTCAAGCCAAGAGTCAAATTTTGAGAGCCATGGCCTAGAAACCGAACCTGAGCAAAAAAGAACCTTGTGGGGCGTGCAGGCAGATGAGCCCCCCTCATCTGCAGCCCCCGCGACACCCAATGCACCAGCGGTCGCTGGTGAGCAAGTGAGCAAAGTCATCATCACCAAAACCGATGTGGACTCCGACTCCTGGAGTGAAATCCGCGAAGATGATGAAGCCTTTGAAGCTCGAGTGAAGGCGGAAGAACAGAAGATATTTGGTTTGATGGTAGACCGTCAGTCCCAGGGTACCACTCCCGATACTACCCCTGCCAGGACCCCAACTGAAGAGGGGACCCCAACGAGTGAACAAAACCCATTCCTCTTCCAGGAAGGCAAGTTGTTTGAGATGACCCGAAGTGGTGCTATTGATATGACCAAAAGGTCCTATGCAGATGAAAGCTTACCGTTTTTCCAGATCGGTCAAGAGTCCAATGAAGAGACTGTCTCTGAAGACTCGAAGGAAGGAGCCATGGGGGCCGAGCTGCCACAGCTGGAAAACATAAGTGAGTCACTGGAACTTTCAGACTCCAAAGAAGCCATAGACGATGAGGGAGAATTACTTCCTGATGATGTGAGTGAAGAAATAGAGGAATCACCTGCCTCAGATGCTAACCTTGATGCCCAAGTGATGGCTCCCGCTTCCACTGAACTGCCCGCAAAAGAGCCCGTCTCCACAGCAGTGGAGGACCACCCCACCATGCAGTCTAGTGATACATCTTCTCTGAGCACTGTGAAGCAGCTATCTTGCCCTGCCTTCCCTCAGCATGTTGTTCAGATGGACTTTTCAACAGTCACTAGGTCTGTTCATTCAGACCGGGAAGACGAGTCCCTAGATTCTTCTCCAGAGGAACAGAAGTCTGTGATTGAGATCCCTACTGCACCCATGGAAAATGTGCCTTCTGCTGAAAGCAAACCTCAAATTCCTATGCAGAGTGTCTCCGCTTCGGTCCCAGTCCCTCCATCTGCAGGGGATGAGAGCGCATTTTCTGATGATTTCTCATCTGGTATGGATGAGGAAAGTAAGGAGGATGACACAAAACCAAAGTCCAAAATCCCCATCAAAGCACCCACCCAAAGAACCGAGTGGCAGCTCTCCCATTCAGACACAACTCTCCAGAAGACAGCTGCTCCCCAGGGACAAGATGTGCTAAGCAGAGCCCCAGATGGTAGAAGCAAATCTGAATCAGATGCTAGTCCTTTGGACGCTAAGACCAAATGCCCAGTAAAAGCCAGAAGTTACATTGAGACAGAAACAGAGAGTCGGGAGAGGGCAGAAGGGTTTGAGTCAGAATCAGAAGAAGGGGCCACCAAACCAAAGCTGTTTGCATCCCGATTGCCAGTTAAAAGCAAAAGCACCCCATCTTCCAGCAGGACAGACACAAGCCCCACAAAAGAGAGTAGGGAGCATTTCTTTGACCTTTATAGAAACTCCATAGAGTTCTTTGAGGAGATTAGTGACGAGGCTTCCAAATTAGTGGACAGACTCACACAGTCAGAAAGGGAGCAGGAGCCGCCTTCAGATGACGAAAGTAGTAGTGCCCTGGAAGTGTCAGTCATTGAGAATCTGCCACCTGTTGAGACTGAGCATTCAGTTCCTGAGGACATCTTTGACACAAGGCCCATTTGGGATGAGTCCATTGAGACTATGATTGAACGCATCCCTGATGAAAATGGCCATGACCGTACTGAAGGTATTTGCCAGCCACTGGAATCCCCTGTGCTACGCATGTCATAAATTCGATAGAGATTTTTTTTTTTTTTGGTGTGTAACATTTGTTTTATTTTGTGATTTGTGTCTCATTTTCTTTAAGCTTTCTGTAGTGGTTAATGTGTTTGTGTAAGCCCTTTTTGTGTTTTGTGCTTTTTCTGTATACTCTCGTCTATGAAACAATCTCAAGATTGAGTAATGAGAATGCTTATCAAAAACATAAACATAACCAAGCACCGGGGACCCTGCCTTTCTTTAGCTGCTGCACGTAAAGCCATACAAGCTTTGGGTTTTGTTGTTCTGGAGTTCCAGGCTTAACCTCAAGTTAAATACTTTCGCTTTTACACCTGAGCATATGGGTTTCACAGCACAAGGACTTCCTGCTCTAATTTCTCACCTTTGTGTACTTTCAATAATTGGTATGTTCAATTTTGTCATGATTAGGAAGCCCTTTATTAGAAAAGATTGCTCACATCCTGAAATTCTAATTATTGTGGGTCTGGTTTTCAATTCAGAGAGGTTGGCTTTCAGATACCATGGTAACCAAATTAAGCAAACAAACCTAAGGTAAAAAAAATTCGCTCTTTATTTGTGAAGTAGACGGATAGTGAACGTGTTTAGATGAGATTCAGCAGACAACAAAATCTCAAACTTTGCACGATGTGACGGAATGATGGCTCTTGAAAGTGTAAGAAAGGAAACCATGGGTGACTTTGAGAGGTCACCGGCAGACTTCCACTATCTCTAAATGAAGACTTATTCCTAAATTTGGGTGACATAGAATTTCTTGATGTTGCCCATCAGTCTGCAGTAGTTAAATAGACTCGGATGAATTCTAGTTTGTGAGAGGGAGCGCTCCATGACTTTACTGAGGAACAGGTGTCAGAAACTCTGCCTCAGAAACAAATATCCCACCAGCCTGACAGACAAGTTAAAGTGCCTTTATCTTGTCCTCCAAGGTCAGTAGGACAGTGTTGTTCCTGGACAGGCTAGTCGGTTCGACCATGACTAAGATAATTCTCCCTGCTTTCTTTCAGGCGGGACCGGGTGGTGATTGATACCTCCACAGGCTTTAGCAGTAGAGCCCGGCCAGTCACTCCACTTCTATATCCCATTTGTGATTTTTCTGGTATTTCGTGTGCAAAATGAGCATCCTTACATGGGCTGTTTTTTCAGAACTGTAGAAGGAAAGCCCTGAGACAACTAGACATTGTGTCCGGTTATTAGTCTTCATTAAAGGGATATGGAAGCAGATGGTTCCCACGATTCACCACATGGGATTCATTTCCCCCATTCTACCCAGAAATCAGAAAACACACCACTTCATATGACCGGAACCATGATAGCTAATTCGCGCAACTATCAGATATTTGGTCAAGTGACTCCCTTCCTTGGATGGTCAGTACTGTGGTTCCCTTGCTGTCCCAGATACTCTTTGGCCATTCTGTTTTTGACCTTCTGTAGATCCCCAAGATGAGCAGGAACGGATTGAAGAGAGGCTGGCTTATATTGCTGATCATCTTGGCTTCAGCTGGACAGGTAATTGGTGTGATCCAGTTATTTTATTTTACTTTATTTTATTTTATTTTATTTTTTTACCAAAACACTCAGTTAAAGATTTTTTCTTTATTTTTTTTTGGAAGAAGACTATAAGGAATAGTGTGAGGAGAAATCTATGAGTTGAAGGATCCAACTGCCATAATTAATGGTGTGACCTGAGGGTCGGGTTCTCAAGAATTCTGGAGTTTAGAGCTTTAGATTTGAAGACTTTGAGAATAACCCTGTTTACCCTTCTCCTTGTAGTTAGCTAAACTGCAGGAAGATGCCCACGTTTTACACAATTTTAGATTCAATTTTTATAATCTTTTTTTTTTCATGAGACAGGTTCTAGGCCAAACTGGAACTCACTCAATACCTTAAACTGGCCTAAACTCATGGTAAATCCCTCTGCCTCAGTGCTGAGAATATAGATGTGAGCTACCAAGTCTGGCAAACTCTGTAACATTTGTGATTTCACCACAGCTGCTTATTTTTGATGTTTGACGTCAAGTGTGACGTCAAGTGTCTTCATAGTAAATAATATTAACATGTGCTCTGGCTGAATGTTAAAGCACATACGAATGAGATGTTGCACAGTTTTTTTGTTGTGGTAGGGGTATTGAAGTATAGAGTATATGCTGAGCAATTTATTAAGAGAAAATGAATTCTAGTATCCATATTGTTATTTACAAATTATGATTTATAAATTTAAAATATTTTCATCTGCCAGTGACTTAATGTTTAGCAATATTATAGCCTACTTTGCTTTTATATATATTATTTTAAACTCTGATTTGGTTTATTAAGTATTACTTGAATATGCTTCACTGAGACAAACAGTACAAAGTTACTACTCTTCTATTGTTTCTCAAAGATTTGGAAAAGAATAAGAACCTATCTTTTCTCAAAGATGATTGATAACTTGGAATAAATTACTGGAAGCAGTAGAAATGGCCATTTTCTCACTTTTGGTAATTTTAGAATAATTCTGTAACACCAGATGTAAGGATTTAGAGGAGATAATGGTACCAAAATATCCCTGGTTGGCATATTAGATATGTATTATTTTCCTTGAATATGTATGTAATAACATGTACTAAGCATGTTAAGTATAAAGGTAGCAAAAATGTAAACTTTATAACCAAACAGAACGAAACAAAAGGAAAAGCAAATACATCAGTAAAATAGAATTACTAGATCAAGGATATTTTTAATATTGAAGATACCAGGTAGATAATAGAAGCCATTTGCTTTTACACACAAATGCATACCTACACAGTACAACAGTGTGCACAAGCATCAAGTATTCATATAGAATATTAACAGTAGAATAAAGAAACTTTTTGTAGGTGATACGTTTGAGAGAGGGTTTCTCTACGTAGCCCTGGCTATCCTGGAACTCCCAGTATAGACCAGGCTGGCTTCAACTCACAAAGATCTGCCTGCCTCTGCCTCCCTAGTGCTGGGGAGGATTAAAGGTGTGCACCACTGTGCCCAGCTTAAAAAAAATCTATTTTACTTCTACCCTATACCAGTTTAATGTTTCACAGACCTTCTCTTCATGGACATCAAATGGAGAAAGGAGCATACCTGACCACTATAAATTAGCTACAACAAATGTTTGCACACATTTCCAGAAACAGGATTTGAAGAAGATGGAAATCTACAAAAGTGGAAATGCTGTTTCTCCTGTACGATCATTTATCTTCCATTATCTTGATTAAAAACATAAACGAGTGATAATGTTATGATCTCCATTTACAATTTACTGTCACTCCTTTGTAATTAATTCTATATCCAATTTTAAGGGAGAGAGATTGTTAGTGCTAATGTATCAAAGGTGTGTATGAGTCACTTCTAACCTAAACGCTCATAGCAGCACAGGATCATATCACTTGCAAATCATGAAGCAAGGTGTGGAGAATCAAACATGAAGAGCCGTTGTGTTGACAATGTAGACAATGCAGCGTTTTGTTGTTGTTGTTTTAGAATTAGCAAGAGAACTGGATTTCACTGAGGAGCAGATCCACCAAATCCGAATTGAGAACCCCAACTCCCTTCAAGACCAGAGTCACGCACTGCTGAAGTACTGGCTGGAGAGGGATGGGAAGCACGCCACAGGTAGGTGGGGAAAGGCTAAAGGAGAGGTGTGATCCCAAGGCGAAAGTGGATTACCCAACGATTCCATTCTCACAAAATCAGTAAGATAAACTGCTGAACGACATCATTCTAAGAACCACTGTTAGCGAAGGACAACAAGCTGCCCACATTTTGTAGAATAACATTGTTCCGAGAGAAATCCTGTGTGGTATGTTTGCAAACAATGCCAAGTATTTTGCAATGCTACCAGCGCCAGCAGCAAACGGAAGGATCATGGAGACCTAGCAGTTCCTAAGTATTGGTTAATGGGCACAGTTGTGTGGTCATAACTATTTATGGGTAGTGTGCTGCCTGCAGTTCATGTTCCTGTTCCTCTCTAGCAGTTTACGTATATGGGGGAGGGGAAGCAAGTAGCCACTCTAATAATGAGTGATATGGTTAAGGGAGACAGACCATGGCTGCCACACACCTTCCGCCCTTTCTCTCAAGTCTCTGTGAAGATCTGCCTTCATATCATTTGCTGGTTGTTTTTCTCCCACATCCTTTTTAGCAGCACTAGAAGATTTGGCCAGTAAAAACAGGACGGTACTCGATTGAACTTAAAAAACCAGATACTCAACAAATATATTTTAATATAACTAAATTCCACACAGTGTTTGAGATAGAGCTGAAGAATCTATTTCTGTCTAGAGTTCACACTGAGCTGTGCCCTGTGGCTTATCTGGCAACTCTGCTTTCAGGGTTTAGAGTATGTAGGGTCCATGCATGGTATTTGTCTCTTTTTACGAAGGACCTAGTTAGGCATTGCCAGGTTCTGATATAGATACCAAGAACTTAGTATAGCCACTGAGTGAAAGATCCTGCAGAGAGGACCTCTCACATGTGAGGAATGCACCTTTTCTCTAATCTCTCAGATACTATCCTCATTGAATGCCTCACCAAGATCAACAGGATGGATATTGTGCATCTCCTGGAGACCAACACAGAACCCCTCCAGGAGCGCCTGAGCCACAGCTATGCAGAAATGGAACAGACCATTGTCCTGGACAACAGTGAAGGTTAAGTGATGTCTGTTGGCGGTAGGGGTTAATTCAGGAGCTGCCTGCATATTTTTTTTTAAGGCAACAGACTACAGCCCTTGGTGACGATGTATTTGTTTCCATTCTACCTCAGTTTCTCTCCCTGCCCATTTGGTAACTCTCTCTACTCAGTCTTTATTGTCTCCCTACCATGGGTACCCCAACCCAGTTTCTTTTTCCCTCCATCCCTTGAAGAACACTTCTGATACTTATGTCAGTTGATCTGTTTTAATCACTGAATTTTATGTTTTGCACTAAGACATCATTGCCGGTCACCCTGTGGCTATTAAGTACTACAGTACATCAACATCCCACTTCGGTCTTTATTTCTGAACAGACAGTTCTTCAGACCCCTGGAACCTTTGAGCACTAGGCCTGGGACCTTTACGTATGAATTTATACTGAATTCCTTCTCACTTACTTGTCTCCCCTCCCCCACTCTTTCCCAACTTCGACCCTTCCTACTTCTGCTCCTTCTCTCTGGTTTCTGCTTTCACTTCTTCCTTCAACCCTTCCTCAACATTTCATTTCTCTTCCCCTTATTTATTTCTACTTGTTGGACTTCAGATTTCCTAGAAACATTTATAAGTAAATCTCTCCACTTTTCACCATAGAATCCACCAAGATGAGGTGTCTAAGTGTGCACACTTTACCTTTCTTCCTGCCACAGTATGCTAAGTTCCCTTATTTGCTAAAGCTACTCCATCTTTTGTGCTGAATTTTATCCTCTATCTCATCGAGGGCTTCACTCCTTCAGATATCCATTTGGCTCTTATAGTTGGAGCCATGTCCAATGCCATTGTACTTTAGGAACCCCATCCTTAAAGGAAAAGCAAAGTGCATAGGTCTTCGGAACGCTGCATAACCCCCTCCCTGGGTCTGCTTTGTTTCTCTGTCCATTTTGTAGGAAATCTCTTCAAGAGAGAGGCTGGGATGTCCTGTTTCTTCTTCTCGTCTCTTGAGGCCTTTGTGTGCTATTCCAATCCCTTTGTAAAATCCAGTAATTGTTTTCTCATCACTTAATCCTCCACGTTTAAATTCCTTCACACCTTGGTAGCATATGATGAAAATAATTAATCTCTCTCCTTTTTTTTCAAATCTAATTTTGTTGTTTTTTTTTTCATCTACTTTCCACACTCCAATCCATCTCAGTCTCTCAATGACTCAGTATTGTTCTGGATGTAGTGGGATTCCTTAGCCCCACGTGAGCACTTCTACATAAAAAGAGCCCTGAACGCAAGGTGTTATGGATTCTTCTTCCCACTTAGATTCTATGACCTGACTATCACAGGGGATTACTGCTTGCCATTAGAGCTTCTTCAGACACATCACTGAGGAAGTGGTTCCACAGTTCACTGACAGGCACCTTGCATCTTCCCTGGGCTCCTCTAAGTGGTCAGCATCCCAAAGTCAGCAACAGCATCTCCTGTTCATGTCTCTAACATCTCCTCCAGCAGGGTGTGGAGCAAAGCTTTCCTTACCAAACAGACCCCTAGTGTGAGTAAGACTCCTGAACATTTTCAATTGTTCTTCCCTGCAGGGTTTTCCGTACTTCAAGAGGAGCTCTGTGCAGCCCGGCACAAGCAGAAAGAGGAGCAAGCAACTTCCAAAGAAAGCGAGTCCAGCGACCACCCACCTATGGTCTCTGAAGAAGACATTTCTGTTGGTTACTCTACATTTCAGGATTGCATCCCCAAAACTGACGGGGACAGCCCAGCAGCGGTGCTCTCTCCCCAAATGCACCAGGAACCAGTTCAACAAGATTTCTCAGGGAAAATACAAGACCAGCAGGAATGCCAGTGAGTTTCAGAAATCTGTTACATGCATTTCCAAAGAAAAGCTGCTGCCCTGACAGGGAGAGAGCATGATTCTACACAGGGAAGTTCCAATAATCTCACAGTGACTCACCTGTCACTATAAGCTGTGCTGTAGAAAAAGTGAAGCAGTCAAGATACACATTTGTGATGGTGTTGTGTGACACCGTCCTACCTGAGCCAGATTCTAGTTCGTGACCTTGAACAATCCTCAGGGCTCCGAATTTCCATTTCCACATCTAAAGATCATGAAAATTATATACATTTTACTTATTTAACAGGGTTGAAGGCCAGGGATAAGCCCGTGAATCACCTTCGCAGAATGCTCATTGCAGACTGCAGTTACTGCAGTCTTGTAGGATTTTTGTATCTCATTGGAATGCTTCCATATGGTGCCTTGGCTGCCTGGGAGTTTGAAGAGTGAATGTAGGAAAGGCAGCCCATGAGTGCTTCAGCAAAGCTGTACAGCATCTGAATATAAAGCCATCGGCACAGTAGAAAGCATGCAAACAGACTGCAGTACCATTAGTTTGAGCTGGGGTAGAGTTAGAGTAAGGATAAGGAGGCATTGCCTGCCTGAAAGAAGCCCTGGAGAGTTGTTTAGCTCCGAACTTTACCAGATAAAGGAGAGAGCTGCCTGAGGACACTGGCTGTCCAGGAGAGGAGAAGCAACCTTAGAGTGTCAAGAGCTCACAACCCAATACTTCCGCTGACAGCGAGTTACGCTCTCTTGTCACCGGAACATGAGAAGAAAGAGATACGAAATGCTTTCTTCCTCTCAGGCACTTTCCTCCTTCACCTGCCTATAGGGTCCAACGGACAACATACAAAAAAGGTACAGGAAAGAAGGCTGGGGGAAGTAAAATGTGGGAACACCAGGACTACCAGAGAGGCGCTCGGGTCATTTGTTTTCAAGACAGAAAGGTGTTGGATACAAAGCAAGGAGCAGAAAAGGGCAATATGCTCTCATTTATGAACTGAGGTTTGGAAAGGCTACCGGAAAGTGTCGGTGTCAACAGGTCCTTCCATCAAATAATAGATACACAGTTATGCTCCCTTATGTTTGTAATTATACTAACTAAATTAACACAGGTTTCTTTCATTCTGCTAACTTTTCTTGCTGTCTTCGAAAGCATTATCTATAAATATTTGTTCTGTGAAACTCAATTGTTTTTCATACTTATCACATTTGGGCATCTCTGTGTGCGTGCATCCTTGAGGACATACTGTCTTAGCTATCACGAAGAGAAATTTCATTTTCCCTTCCAATGTACTTGAGTGGCAAGTTGATTTTTCTGTTTCAGTGTGACAACATCAGGGGCAGAAGGAGCAGAGACTCAAAAGGCCACAGAGGTTCCTGGCTCTCTCTGTAAGACTCCTGAGGACATCAGGACCCCTCCTGAGGATGCCAGGACCCCTCCTGAGGATGCCAGGACCCCTCCTGAGGACACAAAGTCTTGTCTCCAGACCCCAGTGACTAGTGAACGTAGTTCTCCTATTGTGCAAGAACCCGAGGAGGCTCCTGAGCCCAAAGAGGAGAGGTCTCCAAGGAAAACTAGCCTGGTGATAGTTGAGTCAGCAGACGAGCAGCCACGGGTCTTGGAAAAGCTCGACGGTGATGCGGCTTTTCAAAAGGTCAGGCTTCCCTTCCTCCGTCTGTCCTTCCTTACCTGTGCCAACGCTATAAACTTTCTGTTTCTAGTGATGGTTCCTTTATTTTTTATTTTTTATATAAATATAAAAAGACTTGTCAGATAAGTTAAACTGGGCACAGTAAACGCCTAAGCCTTGACTCTCTGAGAACTTGTCAATCTAGAGGAAACAGTACACGATCCAAGTGCTAACTATTGTACTGCAAGCCCAGATCTCATCGTGGCAAATCCCGCTAAGAAAAATGAACTGTAGTAGCCACCAATATAGCATAGTGTTGGAAAACTAGTAGGGTTTTGTGTGATGGTGTTGATGAGCAAGTCCCGAATGTCGGCCAGTGTGATGCTGGGCCCTCAGGATGTGTGCGTTATCTAGAGATCAGAGTTCTCACTGGCATACCTGGATGGGTTAGCCCCCAAATTTTCCTCAGTGCAAAAAGTATAACTTTCTTTTGAAATTTTTTTTGTATGTGTGAGGGTTGAGTTTGTGCATATGTGTGTTTGTGTGTGTGTGTATACATTGTACACGCCACAGTACGAGTGTGGAAGTTGAAGCTGATCCTTTCCTGCTTCCTTGTGGAATGTGGAGACCCAGTTCCTCAGGTCTCCACAGAAGATCTTGTGCCAAATGAGCTATCTTACCAGTGCAATTTTCAAATTAGGATTTCTCCGATTTGTTTTCGGAATAACCTAGAAGAATAACATTGTGCCTAAATGTGTTGACATGTTATATTGTCCAAATTCCTGTCCATGGCATGAGAGTGCACTATAGTGCATCTTTTGTCATAAAGTGAGCTTTAAAGTTGGGAGTGGAAGTAGTGCAATCTACTTTGGACTTCAGATCAAAAAGAGTTCACTCGGAGGGTGACATCAGGAGTTATAGAAAACCACACCTACAGTAAGGCCAGATCTGGGTGCACGGGTACTGGTTCCTGGCATTTATCTTAAAGAATGTACTCATTCAGCGGTGAAGTTTTATTCCACATTTGTCTTTGCACAAAGCTACTGTCGCAAGCTCTTGGCCTGACTGAATACTAGAAAAAGATTTGTATATCTGTGAGGTTAAAAAGTTGCCAAAGTTCAATGGAAAAAGTCATGGGCAGCGTGAAATACAGGCTTGAAGGTTATCTGAAAAGTCCTACCATCTGGATTGTGCAGACATGTATTAGGATGATCCCCTGTGCCTCCTAGGGTTTTCACGACCTCTTCTTAGCTCAATGAATTTCTAGTTGTCCCTCATCTGCTTTGTGACCCCCTAACTTCTTACGACACTAACCAGAACATGTAATTTCAGTTACTCTTCTTGCTGACCATATTAATAGCAGTAGGTTCCTGATTGTATTTAATATATAATTTGGTTTTATCCTTTTCTTTAGAAGATTGCAGAGTTATATATCCTGGGTATTTTGAGAGATTATACCAATTGGATTAAAAAAAAATGTCATGCCAAGCTGAGTGTGGTGTCAGTCCTGTCAGCCCAGTACCCTTGAAGGCTGATGCAGGAGGATCATAAGTTTAGAACCTGTGTGGGATACAAGCTTGATCTTGTCAAAAAAAAACTTGGGAGGGAAGAAGTGAGGAGGAGAGGAGAGGGGAGGGGAGAGGAGAGGAAGGGAAAAAAGGAAGGAAATCATGTTCCCTTAGGAAAAACTGACTCTGATTAGGACTCCTAAGGCATATTTTCTGATCTAAAATTATGTTCCTAGCCTCATGTCTGGCTTTTGATCAAGCTCATAAATGAGAGTATTCTCTCAGCTTCTCTGAAAAATGAGTCTAATATTATTCAAAGCCTACAATTTTTGGTGCCAGGAAAATGTCCTATTAACCAATAGCTACAGGAAATTTGACTTACTGGAGAAAGCTCTGTTGCAAATAGGAGCTGTCCCCTGTGTGGGATTAGAATTCCTTGCCCAGTCAATGCCGGTCTCTGGGTCACAGTATTTAGTATGCTGCTTAGTCCTGTATTTTCGCCTAACTTTTATTAACCGTTTTAAGTACAGGATTCATGTGGAAAAGGATGTCTCCTTGGGACCAGTTTTGACTGGTAGCTTCTCCAGCTTCTCTCAGAATGCAGAATTTCATTATGATTCTGAAAACAGTAAGACTGCATACTTGTTGAGGCTTGAGATCACCACACATTTACTTTTTTTTCTCCTGATGATTTTCCACCAACATCTCCCCGCATAAAATTTCAGAATATGATATGGATAAATAAAGCACCAGCAGTAAAGTCACTCAGTAGCGAATTAAACAAAGTGATGCAGCCAGATGTGGTGGTACGCATCTGTAAACCCAGCACTCAGGAGTTTGGGACAAAATGATTGCAAATTCAAGTCAGGGTGGTTGACCAAGTGAGACCCTATCTTAAAAATTACTTTTGAATCTGGGTGGTGGTGGCACACGTCTTTAATTCAAGCACTTGGGAGGCAGAAGCAGACAGATCTCTGTGAGTTCAAGGCCAACCTGGTCTACAGAGTGAGTTCCAGGACAAGCTCCAAAGCTACATAGAGAAACCCTGTCTTGAAAAAACAAAAATAAATAAATAAATAGGAAAAAATAAAGAAAAGAAAAGTGAGTTCCAGGGTAGTAAGGGCTTTTACACAGAGAAATCCTGTCCCATAAGACCAAATAAATAAAAATTTATTAAGTTTTTTTAAATTAAAAATAAAACCCCAAACAATGATTCTTACATGCTTCCACCAGGAGCTAACAGAGGAATTAGGGGAGCTGGAGGCCAGCTCTGATGAGGAGGCCATGGTAACTACCAGGGTTGTCCGCCGGAGAGTGATTATCCAGGTACCCACTATTAAGTTGCTGCACGTCGGGACAGTTCTGTCCTTCACTAAGAGAGATCTGAAACAACAGAGACTGAGCATGCTCTGTAGGTTGTGCATGCGTGGTTAGTAGCTCGCGTCTTCCTGTCTCATTTGTAAGGGAATGCAAGGGTGTTTGCAGCCCTCCTCCACGAGCTAAAACGCAGAAGAAGAAGGATTGGCTTCTAGAGATCCACCTGCCTCTCTTCTTGCTTATTCATTTTTGTTGTTTAAGTTTTACCTAACTTTGGTGAGATACTCCTCGGCATGTTTTTTCTTAATCTACCTGCTTATTTTTTTTAATTAATCCAACTGACAGGATTTTGCATCTCAGCAATAGTTCGCAACAAGATCTCTAGCTTTCTAACATTCCTCACATCAAAAACACTTGGATGTAGCTCCTCAGGACTGAGCTAGACAATTAACATTTTTCTCTTATTGTTTAGGGAGATGATATGCCTGACATACCCCCAGAATCTGTCACAGAAGAAGAATATATTGATGAGAATGGACACACCGTGGTGAAGAAGGTAACTGGCCCGTGGCTCAATACAGGGCTGTTTTCATACTTCCTATGCACATGCTAGCACTAGTGTGGTACCCTAACTCAAACATAAGAAAGACACGTGGAATGTGTTTCAGGTTACCCGGAAAATCATTAGGCGGTACGTATCCTCTGATGGCATGGAGAAAGAGGAGATTACGATGCAGGGAACGCCACAGGAGCCAGTCAACATTGAGGATGGGGACAGTTATTCCAAAGTCATAAAGCGTGTGGTATTGAAGAGTGACACCCAGCAGTCAGAGGTGAGGGCACCCAGCTCTGCAGAGCTCGCTCTGTAGAGAAAGACGAAGCATAGGCCAAGACGTGTCAGTTCCCACCGAATCCGATTTGATGTGGTCATCGTATCCATTGTCTTTGTTTGGTTCTTTTCATTTCTATGTTGTATTTCATTCATAGTTGATTACAGTAGAAATCCGGGGTCATATTTTAAGAGAATAAAATCTATTTTCTGGCCGGGCATGTGTTGTGAAGAAGCAGTGTCCAGATGTAGTGCAGTTCTTGGTCTTTATTGGCACACCAGCCTTTCGAGGGTCACTTTAGATGTGTGTTTGATGCTCAAGCTTCTGCATCTCAGGGTCATTAAAATCATAATATGAAAAAATAATGATCTGAGACTCTGATTTATCACTTCATCGCTTTCTGTTTGAAAGCTTGAGACCACCACATTCACTGGCTCTCTTAGACACAGAACTTGAAATTCTTACTGTTCTGTATTACTCACATCTTCAAAATCGTATGATTATAGATGCGAAGCAGTATATAATCTACATTGATTTCTTATAGATTTTCAAGCTCTCCCTTCAGGGGTTGACTTTATTTTCATGTTGCAAAGAAATAAGTTAATTGTGGGATAGAGACCAAGCTTAGGTTGTCAATCTATATTACAACTGTCAGCCTTTAAGAAATGTGGTTGGTAAGACTTTATTCAAATGGCCCATAAACTGTTTCAGTGCAGTGGTGATATATCCTTAAGTAGACAAATTGATGAGATTTGTTCCTAATTAATGTTTCCATTTTTTAAGGAGGCCAGTATTACAACCATTTTATTTCACAGAAATGTCATTATGTGTTCCATTTTGGCCATTGGGAATTGTCTGTTGTGTGTCCTTCATTCATTAGATGACCTTGGCTGAACCCAGCATTTTGTCCAGTACCTCACAGTTTCAGGCCGAACCAGTAGAAGGCCGTAGAGTGAGCAAAGTTGTTAAAACAACGGTGGTACACGGAGAAAGGATGGAGAAAAGCCTGGGGGACTCTAGCTTAGCCACTGACCTTCCTTCAGCCAAAGATGACTTTGAAGAGGTACAGAAGCCTTGTCTCATTTTGTGTTTGTTTTCCTTCGATGTGCATTTTATGGTTGCTTTGTGTCTGGAAAGAAAAGCAGCTGTCACTGTGCCATTTCATGCCCGGATTCATGGAAGGTGTTAGGATAATTCCAGAGGCCAGATTTCCTTCCTGAACAATTTGTGTGATGAAGTAGTATTTCCTCAGCCCAGAGGTATTCATTCCTGTCACTCTTTAAAATGCAGGTTGCTAAGATTCATTCCTGCTGGGGCAGAATCCGACTCTCCAGAGCTGGGGCATGATTTTCTATGTCTGTTAAAATTATAAAGCCAGGTGTGGTGGCTTAGGCTTGAAACACTGGCACTACAGTGCCTAAGGCAGGATGCCACATGCTAACTTATGCTACAAGATGAGTTCAGGCTAGCCTGAACTTCTTTGTAAAAATAAATAAATAAATAATAGTTGCAGAATTATCTTAATTGCTTAATGTTAAATGCTATAATCTGTGCCCTCTACTGTACTTATTCACAGTAGACCTGGGGGATACAGCTGTATTTTAGGGTGGCTGTGTAGCCCGCACAAAGCACTGTGTTTGATCGTTTAATCCCTAGCTACTAGAATAATAATAATAGTATTAACAACTATATTCAAGTAGCATATTAAAGTATTTGCACCTTAAAAGTGAACTTTCTTTAAATACTTTGGATTCTGCACATTTGACTTCTTGGATGTCCACAAGGTGAATTGTCTGAGTTGTACACTGGACCCTATTTCCTGCATCTGGTTTTGTCTCTGATCATCTCATTTATCATTCAGATCTCCACAATCAGAAGGAAGGTGGCCAAACAAGGAGCAAATTTAGAGTCAGTCAGTATAGGTGTAAGTTACAAGTTTTGACAAGGAGTGTAAAAATATCTGTGACACAAATTGAAATTTTAGTATGTGTTAAATAAAACTCAATATCCAATGAGTTTGGGGGAGTTGTTACTTGCCCCATCAGATACCTCTTTCTGTACCACCAGAGTTAGTAAAGCAGTAGGCTAATTAGTGGAGCAGTAGACTGGTTTACCTTAACATCTGTGGTCTATGAGTCAAGTCTTGTCCTCTCTCTTTCTTACCTCAGGCTTTGGGTTACACAGGTAGCCACATGAAAGTCCATTTCCCCAGTTTAGTAGAGAACGAAATCCTGAAGGAGGATGGATCAATAATTAAGAGGTTTGGGTTAGCATGGGGTGATGCTTTGCCAACTAACATGATACAGATAGTTTCTAATGCTAGAAAGGAAAGGTAGAGCCCTTCTGGGCGGCTGACTGCCCTATATGAGAATGCATGGGTCAGGCATGGGTGTGTCAAATGTGTTTCTCCTAGCATGTCCACTGATACTTACAAATTAATACTGAGACACAGCAGTGGTGAGCCATTTGTTTATACTTGACTTTCTGGATTCAAGCAAATTGCTAATACAGTTGGAGCTAAGCTGGTGGGAAATACCACTGTGTTGTCAGATTTGGAGACCAGATAAAGAGAAGTCTCATCAATGGCACACTGATTAACTTGGCAACTAACTCTATTCAGCTCAGTCTCCCTCTATTCTGGCTTTGGATAGTAGCTGCTTTTCACTGTTAGCAAGTTCCATGATGCTGCATGTGTGTGGCAAGAAACAGGAGCCTAAGTCTGATGTTCGAGGTCCTGAATGTCCAGTGTTGCCAAAAGCTGATTTCGTAAGAGCATGCGCAAGTAGTAAGCAGCCTTACCCACGAGTGTCGGTGAGCTGCCTGCTCCACTGCAGATCTGCTGTCTGAACCAGGCATCGCCTCCAGGTTGCTCTCTCAAGTCTTTGGTCCCTTAGTGCCCCTGTCAGCATCGGTTCTCCCCAGCCCTCCCAGCTTCTCAGTGGAAGACGCAATGGGAACCCAAGTTACTGCCGTGCTGCTCATCCCATTGCAAAGGGGAGAGAGATTGTCCTTTCTAGTACTCCACCAGGCTATTTTAGTTCCTAGAACATGATAATTAAAAGGGCAAAATTAAAGGTTCTGTCACAGTCCCGCCTTCTGCTCATATGTGAGAAACAGTAGCAGCTATGAATTTAGAAGAACATAATTGGTCGCCTAGAGCTTTCAAATGCCATATGAATTGAGGATAAAATGCTTCCTCTGTTCTGAGTGTTGAACTCTTTTGTCCAATCATTTGGATGAAACTATACAGCCTCTGCCTTTGAACTGGAATAGATTTAGAGGGCAGTTGACTCCCTGTCTCCTTGCAGTGGCGGGCACAAAGCTGCAGACTGTGAGGGACAACTTGTGCTCACACTGGCCGCCAGTGTAGGACCCTGTGGTGAACGCACTTGAGTGCATATGTTACTGAAGTCATTTTATCGTATATATGCCTATGCATAACATCTACTCACATCCGCAGAAACATTTTTAAAAAGTCCCAGGCTGTGGGTCTGCTCCCTGACACCAGAACTATGGAACCCTCTCCTAATCCCTGACAGAAAGAGACAGATATTTGCCTTTTGTGGAGTGAATGAGCAGAAATGACTGGGAACAGCTAGAAATATACAAATTGATTGAAGCCACAGTGATAGAATTTGACCATTCCATCAAGAGGAACAAATTTAGATACACCATCAAATGAAAGTATAACTTATGTAATATCTAAGAAAGGGAGAGACTCAGAGGAAGAGGTAGGAAACAAGGGTGTCCAAAGGAAAGTTGGAATTACTTTGGCAAAAGTAAATTTTTAGAAATTAGCATAAGTTTAGGAGAACCATAGAACCTTTAGTTTCACAACACTGGGGATCCATAAGGAAAATGCCTGATCTTTCTTCATGTTGTTGGATTTGAAGATCCATGGCCTCCTGGTTATGGACCCAGACTCAGGAATCCTGGACCCTTAGCTAATGTTAAAAAAAATAATTAATGTGGGGTGCCATTTAAATCCTCTAAAATCAGTTTTTCTTCTTTGTTATAAGTATAGATAGTACATAAAATATATTCAACACATATTTGCACAATGAAGCACTATTCTCATAAGTAGTCAGTGAGAAGAATAGAGAAAGAACAAATTGCAATATTGTTTTCAAATGAAGACTCTAAGAAAATAAGAGTATGAAATAAAATAGCAAGTGACAGTGTCTTTTCTCCAGGCGCCCCAGGGGTGAGGAGACAGGGATGGTGGCATGCTAAGAATAAGACACGTGGAGATCCTGAGGATGCTCGGGAAGTGTCGACCTAGGGAGTAATTTCCAGCTCCTTTTCTTTTCTTGCTGGCTCTCAAGGGAACATCAGAGGCCTTCTTGTTGGTAGTCCCTGTCTCAGGGATTGGTGGAATATTTCCATTTTTAAAGAACTAAACCTCGTAGAAAAGTTCTAGTAAAACAAAATTTGGACAAAGTTCAGGCTGGGAATTGAGTGAATTTTAAATGATTTCCTGAGCTTGTCAATGGTGCTTTTGGAATCATTTCTTCAGATTAAACAACAAGGATCTTTTGGATTCTTGACAAAAATCTGAGTCATGGCCTGGATTCTCTTTGAGAAAATGTAATGAAGGCATCGTGTCCTTTATTTGAAGTAATTGCAAAAAAAAAAAAATTAAAAATCAATATGTCTTGTTCCAAAACACACTTTTTAAAGCTTTGTGAGTTATTTCTGATAGGAGAGTCTCACTCATGACACGTGTGAGAAGCACACCTGTCTTAATGACCTGCTGTCATTAAGCTAATAGGAATAGATGCGAGGTTAAGGCAGGAAGTGCACGGGGGTCCAGGGAAGGCGTCTGATTCTCTCATCTGCTCCCTGTAGGACAACAATGAATAAAGCCAGTACCCAGAAGAGGGCTGTGGTGAAGGACCAGCAGGGGAAACGCATCAGCCTGGAGCACCTGGAGGATGTCCCCGGAGCCCTAGACCAAGACGACCTCCAGAGAGATCTCCAGCAACTCCTTCGGCATTTCTGCAAGGAGAACACAACGCCAGAGGCCAAATGAGGAGCTGCCCAGTTCTCAGCAGAAACCACACACCTACGCGATATGCAACTTCCCACTTTCTCACCGAAGTAACCTAAGTGACCTAATTAATTCCCGGGATCCCGTGACATTTCTAGTCTCGGCAAACACACGGCATTGTCTTTTGCTTCCTTCTCCCAACCCCTCTCTAACTATAAGCTAATTTGTGACCAAAGATAGCATCCTTCATTCTGGATGCTGTGTCCACTCTTTTGAGCATCCGTGCTAACCTGGGAACTGGCGCCTCCCTTCTTCTTTGCTTCTGCCCCAGCTCCATGAAAATCCACCAATCAGAAGAACTTCACCTGCAGACTTCTTCAAGCGACAGAGGGGGATCCGCCCGAGGAGATCCATGTATAATGTACATAGCCGAAATTCTCAGATGAACAACAGTAAAACTGAAACCACTGCCTGTCATAATTACACTGGGCATCACGGACTAAAAGCCTCTCGGAATTGCCGAACCACGGTTAATTAAGATAGCGCTAACACAGTCGAAGGATAATGCAGTTCTCCAGAGGGAACACTTCAGACCTAGACATGTCCTTAGCACTTCCAGAGTAGCCATTGCTCCGAAAGACAGGGTCATCATCTTGGAGAATGATCCCAAGGAGCTGTCTCTCGTACTGGTCAGCCATGGCTGATGGCTCTCCAACTGCCACCCTGAGGGAGGGGACGCAGGGGGCACAGACGCGCGGATGGAAACAATGAGGTATTCTGGTGCTAGAAGCTGCATGGGTGGTGTTCTGGCACTTTCAGGTGTTTTCGATTTTGGACACGTTGGCAGGGTATTTTCAAAGCTATAACTACTGTAGTTTTCCGGTGTTCATTGCTGCTTTAGCAAACCACGCTGTCTTACCGGTGGTACTTTCTTCTGGCCACTGCACTGTAGATAATTCATTGGAAACAAGATGTACGCACCACAGAAAACGTTAATTGCTGTCACCATGTTGGAGTGGTTTCTTTTTCTTTTTTTTTTTCCCCACCAGATGTATCTCTTTTCTAGTACCTGCATGTGGCATTAAACACACACACACACACACACCCCTTCTTATCATATTAATGGTTTTCACCCTGGGCTTTCACTTTCTAGCTACGTCTGCTTTTCAGCTTGCAGACAAGATTGAGAAATCCTTGGAAAATTTGGTTTTGGTTTTGATTAATTCTTTTTTTTAATTTGATTTATTTATTTGAAACCCTTGGAAACTGAAGTGCAGTTGTGCAACTTTCTGTTTGTTTCAGAGAAGGGACAATGACAGTCTGAGTGATCCCCATGCCCCATGTCTAATCCCTTTAGTGGTTGAAGCTGTGTAGCATTTTAACATATAAATATATATATTCACAAATATATTCATATAAACAGTATACGTTTTGAATCAGTTATTTGTTAAAGAAAAGTATATTCAATGAAGATGAAATTTAAAAAGAAAAAAACGAAAGAAAGAAAGGAAACAGTGTACTCTCCTGAGATTGAACTTTTTCCAATCCCATCTGGCCTTTTCCTGTGTGCAGAACTGACTCATTGCTCGGAATGTCAGACACAAGCAGGACAAACAACGGTACTTCATCTTTTAAAGTAACATTGCCAAGAAAGGAATTTGCTTGGGAGAGAGGTGTCCCATCTGCCAAATCTCCTGAGCCCCCAACACTAGCACTTTCCCGGGGGACTGAGTAGAAACAAAGTATTTGCTGACATCCAGAACGAGGGAAGCAGGTGGCAGCCCTTTTTGAGAGATGCCCTGGCCGTCTTGTCAGACTTCACCGGAACTCATGAAAAGCCTTCCTGTTGTGTTCTTTGCAGTGCAGATGATGTCTGTGTAGCAACATAATGGTTACTCACCTTTTTTTGATTCTGATTTTTTTTTTTGCTGTGTTATCAAAAAAAAAACTTGAATACTGTGAGAAGAAGTGAATTTTCAGTTGATGAATCAGCATCTTGTTCCCATGGTGATAACACTAATTGAATATATCTATGAGGGCATGTATTAGTTAATGGAAAACAATACAACACTAACAATACATAGCTGCAATGTTGTACAATGGCTGATTTAACTAAATAAAATGTACAAGTGTTAAATGTGGCGGCAGTGCTCTGTCCTTCTTTGTCACCGTCGGTGACCTTAGGAGAATCCGAGGTGGTTCAGTCAAGCAGATATGAAGCCAACCGATAACACATCAACTGCCTTTTTTTTTTTTTCTGTAGTGTTTTTATTTAGTGGTGACTATCCCATGAGCCCAGACGATAGCAGGCCCTGGATTAGCATGTCAGAGCCCTAAGGAACTTTCATTCTTACCGCCACCCAGCTGGGGGAAACAAGAACATAGGTCTGTTTCGAGGATGCCTGGTACATGGAAAGTCAGAGCCTCCGAGGACTTGGAGCCCAGGACACTGGGGGATCTCGTCAGCAGCACAGGTGGCAAGGCCTCAAGGATTGGGTTTGTACAGTGACAGCGGGGTGACAGACTTTGGGAACAGCAGTTAACCCTTGGGTTTTCTTTCTCTATTGCAACCAGGGGACAGGAAATTGATTGACTATATTCATACGAAGACAAGGCAGGAATACGTCAAACTGATATCCTGTGGAGGAGTGGTTAGGTTTGAAAAAAATAAGAAAAAAATAATGCTTTATCAGTCTCTCTCTCTCTCTCTCTCTCTCTCTCTCTGTGTGTGTGTGTGTGTGTGTGTGCGCACACGCACGCATGCGTGTGCATGTGCACGTGTGTGTGTGTGTGTGCATGTGTGTGTGTGTCTATGTGCCTATGCTTCTTGTGTGTATGTACAGTGAAAGCAGATGTTTAAAGCCAAGTGGGTTTGTTTAAATCTTACTACACCATCAGCAGGACAGCAGGTTTGTGTTGTTTCTGGTTCATTAACATAACCATTCTGCCTGACAGTCTTTTCTAAGAAAACAGAGTAATGAAGTTGGCGCTTTTTTCCCCTCTCTTTTTCGAAGGACGCAGTGAAGGTGTCCCTGTCACTCGCTTACTGGGCTGTGCCTCCTGCTTACGGCGAGGCTGGCTTTGCCTGTCCCTCCATGGAGAACATTAAACATTAAACAGCAAGAGAAACACTGTATCTCCTCCTGGTTAATTATCTCCTGTGCAAACCCCAATGTGAAAAGTGAACTCCGGTGACTCATATGCCCTTTTGCCGAAATATATTTAGAAGTGGGTGGGGAGAAGCTCCATCTGCGGGAAGATGAGGCATGGCTTGTAAACAGCCTGCATTTGTCACACCGAGGTGTGAATCGCACGCAAGTGCTCAGATGCCAGCATCCATTGAAAATGAGGCTGCTCGTGGGAGTCATTCAGTCCATGTCGGCATGGGCAGTCTGCTTGTGGGTAAATGGCAGGCGTGAGAATCGGTCAGAGGAAGAGAAACTAGACCAATACTTAATGCAAGCCAAAAATCACTGCCAGGTTGTCTTGAGTAGCAGAATAAAGATAATCTGCCTGCCTTCATTAGTATAAAAGCCAATCAGAGCTTTTTGTGAACGTCATTGGCTATCTCTGCTTAAAGCCTGTACTTTCTTCCCTTCGGGTGAGCTGCAGTTTCAACGTCTTAGCTAATCAAGACGGAATCCAGCTGCCGTCTTCCAGTGAGCCATATGACTAGATATGTAGTACAACGTCATCTCAGCCTAAGAACAGCGCTTAAGAAAATCTTTTAAATACCTAAGAAAGAAAGCAGAACTGCTTCCCAGTTTCTTTATACAAGTTAAATTCCTGTTTATACTCCGATTTTCTGGGAATAGTAAAATCTCCCTGTCACTCTTTGTTATTGCCAGAGGATGGAGCAAATAGTATATTAAGGTATTGGGGATATAAAGGTGTACTTGGCAGTGGTTCTGTGTGGCACACGTGCACATTGGGAGTGATATTTCTTCTAATTCAACAGAGTTGGCAGATTCGGCCATTCTGGGATGTTGAATTCAGAGAGCACTTCAAAGGTCTAGAGGCTACATAAGACAGTCAGATGTGTTGTTTATGGTCACATGTTTGGATTTCATGGCTCCTGTGTGGCTTCGCCTAAGGCCTGGGTTAGAATCTAGTCAGCGATATTGCCACCAATTGGCCTTTGTGAAAGCCACCTCTTAGAATACCATTTCCTCTCCTGGAAGAGAGGATGGTTCCTGCCCCCATGGGCATCATCCTGCAGATGCAAGCAAGAGCTGCAGGCTCTGACCTGATACCACAGAAGCCCGTGTGCCACAGAATCTGTTTTGATACATACCCACACGGATTACCTCTCCACACTTGGGATGGAGTAAGCTCGGAGCAAGTGTTGATGACCTTCAACACGTTTGCTCTTGGTTAGACTGCTAACCCACTTCCTGTGACAGCAGCCCAGGTCCATTGTCGTCATCCTGTGATTCAGGGAGGGACCCCAAGAGTTCTTTCTCAAACTGCTCAAGAGCTCTTGTTTCTGTTCTCTTTCCAGTGGCGCTCACGCTCTGTCGTTTATTTTATAGTTTTGTCTTTCTGAGAACTGAGTACAGAATTGGATAAAGTTGCCACACCCCTGCCTGAGTAGCTGTGCCTTGCAAGCAACAAGTCCCACAAATTTACGCCAGGAGGGGGCTGCAGGCCATGCTGGCTGGAGGTGGATATGTGCACAGTAGCCCTTACTGTTAGATAAATCCGACTGAAGCACAGCCTGGTACAAAGTGGACCCTGTGCTTTTTTCCCTGGGGTGTATTAAAACTCCAGCCCTCATCTAGGTCAGGAGAAAGAGAAAGAGAGAGAGAGAGAGAGAGAGAGAGAGAGAGAGAGAACAAGTGAGCATGTATGTCTCTGATGTGCACATGTGCTTGCTGATACACACGTGTGCATACTGCACATGCTGTCTTTGATTTCTATTTTACATACCTAGGCTTTCTTGCTGAAGCTGGGCTAGCTGGTTGGGTAATCTCATAACTTGCCCTGAGGGTTCCATCTCCACCTCTGGAGGCCTACAATTACAGGTAGGCCACCCCTTCTATGCAGCTTACGTACCTGGGTTCGGGGGTTTGCCACTGTAGTCCTCACGATGATACAGCAACTGCCCTCTTCTCTGAGCCACCTCCCCAGATCTTTCAGGATGGATTTCCTCATCGTGCTGTAGACCCACAACTTCTGGATAAGAAGGATTTTATAGGAACTTTTTAAGTGGCTTGCAAGTAGGTGGAACCTTCAAGAACTTCCCACCATACCCCAATCTCAACCCTAGCTCAAGATAGGGGACAGTTAGAGGATATGCAGTTCTACACGGCAGTGGATGTTTAGATAGGATTGGCATTGCAATTTTCTTATCTATCTGAAAGCTAACTAATTCTGGGCAAGGTGTTGGCAAGGTTGGGTTCTTCCGCAGCCTCTCTGGGACATACAGCCGGCTGTCACACTGTGTCCTCTCGGGCTCTTTCTTCTGTATGTGTCCAGTCCAGTGTCTCTGAGTGTCCAAATTGCCTCTTCTTGTGAGGCCTCCAGTCAGACTGAATTAGGGCCTGCCCTCATTTTTTCATCTTAACATTTATTTTTTTCCAAGAGAAAGCTTCATTTCTCATAGGAACTGTACCCATAAGTACATGAAATAAAGTTGAGTTTTCATGCAAACTATGTATAATGATATTTTATATATTATTTGCCACTTTATCACTCAGATTGACAAGGAGGACTGTAAGTCATTTCTAACAAATTGTTACATCCCAAATTGCAAAAACACATATTAAAGTAATAGCATCTAGTCGTCTGTATCTCTGCATAGGTTCTAATTTTAAAATATTTTAAAAAGTTAATGTCTGGTCTTAATATGTACATTTTAATAACAGCAAGTAATTCAGTGTTTTTATTGGAGTTGGTGATGTCCTTACTTTTCCATTCTGTGAAGTTATGATTTTAAAGAGACCTGTAAGGGCCACAGACAAGGGGGAAATTGCCAATCGCCAGAATAAAACTGGAAATGAGAGACAGCTTGCCCGGTATAATGCAGTTAATAGCAATAATAAACAATGGACGAGCCCTAGCAATGATTTGCATTGCTTCATATGAAAGTATTTAAATACTATTATGAACCATGGGAGTTTCCCCGAAGTGATAGTACTGAAAGATTTGGCATTTAATATGTAATTAAATTTAAATTAATCACAGCTGAGATACTGATTTTATAAGACTGGGCACTGTATAAGAAAAGGAAGAGACACCATGGTTCCAGGAAGTGTGAATATGGAGAATAGACTGTGAAGGGACCAGATGTACAGCAGCTGCCCATTAGGGAAGACCTTGTCTCTAAATGCAGTCACTTTCGGGGGCAGCCGCTATTCGGTCTTCAATAAACGAAAGGGAGGGGACATTTCTGCCTCTAACTATTGGGATGTGCTCAAAATACAGACGTGTCTAGCCATTTTAAACAGGAAGGATTTAATCACGGAACTTTAAGTTTGCATAAAATATTAGAAAACACCCAAGAATAAAGTCAGGGAAGCTGCTCTGGGAAAGTCTACCCAAGTGGCACGCAGAAACCCAGGCTACCAAGGTGGGCTCAAGCTGCTGGGATGAGCAGTAGCAAATATGTGTTTCTTCGGGGAAGGCCCAGTTGTGCCTTCAAAAGCATCCATGAGTCTTCTGTCAAGGACACCTGCCATGTGCACCCCTTCTGCAGCTACCTCTGAATGCCCCCCCCCTTTCCCTTCTCTTCCCTTTTGAATCTTGGGCAAATAATATATCTTCCCCTGGAAGAACTGAATTCAAACCGCCCCTGGAAAGGCGTTCAAAACTGTCGGACTGCTGAAGCCTTTCCCATAGCCTGCTGGCGGGGTGAAACTTGGAGGAAATGCCTGGCTGGGTGGGCAGCAATTACACAGGAACACAGCGGGAACCACTGTGTTCCTCTGTTCGGTGACTCATGTGTCATGATGACCCCACCCATTGTTCTGAGTGCTCAGGTAGGCAGGAGCCAGGATCCTCACGGTGAGTCACCTACTGTCACTGCAGGCTTACTCCTGCAAAGAGTCCCAGAAACTTCCATCGTCTCCACTGAAATCGTAACAGGCAGCTACAGATTGAAATTGAATTGAATGTCAAAGAAATTCAATAATTTGCATAA